AGCAGCTAACTCTATACCCTGACTACAAAGGTGATTCAGTTTCACATCCATCACTGAGCAAACCAGGTTTAAGTGTGCACTCAGGCTCTGCTCTTTTGTTCTTCCCTGGCTTTGGAATCAGGTATAAATGTCATAAGTCACGTTTTCTGGCCACACGTAAATGTCCACAGTCCGCTGTGTCTTTTGATAAACTGTCAGGATCTCTGTTTAGTCCACATGTTCTTAATTTAAACAGATATTGGTCTGTTTCACTTTCACTTCCTCTCTCGGTGTCGCCTACTGAAGGCAGCCGTATTGGAGAATGTTTTGACCCTCACTCAACTGAGGGGATGTTTTGTTTGTTTTTACAAATACGTCACTTCTTAAAACATCTGGTCACTCTTTTTTTTTTTTTTTTTTTTTTTAGCAAACATTGCACCAACAAGAACTTTGGAATTTTAAGTCAGTGGTTCCCAAAGTGGGGGACAGACAGAGGGGGGTCCCAAGATGCTTTCCAAAAATGCCTTTCAAAAATACACATTTTAAATGATTTCAAGTTGCACATTTTACCCATTTTTTTTTTTAAAGAACTAAAAAGGCACACAGAGACTCTAAAATAATACAATTATTATTAGGCTGCTATGTTCTTCGGTGTTGTTCTAATGCCAGTGTTTGGATAGGCCTGTTAGCACGTGTGGCTGTGCCCAACATTTAATACTTAAACCACTTCCAGGCACAGTGGGGGGTCCACTCTCTCTGGCACCCTTATTTTGGGTGGTATTTTTAATACACAGACAGGAACTGAAGTCATTCTTTGCTTTGCGCAAAAGAAACCTGCGATTCAATCCCACAAATTCTCAAACATCACCAAATACCTGCGACATTCCCAGTAGCCTCAGCTATACTGATTGTATTTAATGCTATTCATTAGCATCTTAAGATGCTTAACTGATTAAAATTAGCATGTCTTTATAGTCAGTTAGCATGTTGATGTTAGGATTTATGTTAAAGCCATCCTGTCCCAGAGTACGGCCTTACAGAGCCATCGGTGTGTGGATGTGAACTCTCAGATCTGCTCAGTTGGACAGCCTACATTCTCATTTTCTGCCCATTAAACATTATTACTCTGTAAACTGTGAGATTAAATTCTTCCACCAGCTTTAACATGTTCACTCCATGCAGTTTACTCTTCCATGATTTGCTCTTGCTGCCGCCGTCTAGTTAATCTTTCAAACCATATACTACATCTCTCCCTACAACATCGCTCTCAGTTGTATCTGCTCGTGCCCCGCCTGATTGCTTTTTCTTGCATAACTCTCAATAACCCACCACCACCCACTTTCTCCAACACACATCCCACTGCCTCTCCTCCTACTCCGGATCGCATGCGTCATTCATACGCTCGGCTCTTGTTACTCGGGGTGATCGGAGCCAAGCCCTCTGTCATCCCCTCTGGTGATAGACCAGAGTATTTATATATGAGCTGCCTGCTGCTCGAGCAATGAGTGTGTGGGAGGCTGACAGCTCTGTGGGTTGTGCTTACCTCATGTGAGAGTGGGTGTGTGCATATATTAAGCATTTTCTAATGAGCTGCAGATACAGGGATGGCTGACCGCTCCACTTTACACTAAAGTTATGTCATGAAACCTGTCTTTATCTCTAAAATCCAAAAGTTAGTGAATGCATCTTTTTCAGATTTTTATGGCATTGAAACGAATCAAATTTGAAACACGTCGCAAACCTCTTCACCGCACTGATAAAGGATGTTCTCAGCTCTAAGTGTTTTTTAAGCTGTCTTGATTTTATCATCCCCCTGATGAAGAAGACAGCCGAAGGCGGCTGGTGATTACATCGTTGTGTGCAGATAGTGTGAATTTTGATAGTCTTGCTGAAGCTCTCTGCAGCTTCCTGTGTGCGCTCTAGGAGTAAGAAATAGAGGTATCCTGACTGACGCCATTGGAGGCTATTAAGTCATATTTTGAGCATCTACAAAAATAGTCCCACCTACTTTGCACTCTCCTGAAAGAGCATCTTTGCTTTGCACATGAAATAATAAGGCCATCCACACAAAAGAAGACAGTGGGTTGTACTCAGTTGACCAAATTTCACAGGAAATCTTTCCTCGTAGCAAGATCTTAAACAAACATGTGCTCACACACCCCCACACACAGTCTGTACTGAAAGTGCAGGTCAAGGCTATCACAATTTTACAGCCCAGTTATTCGGTCAGGATACACAGAGAAGTGAAGGACTCTGAGATTATGAACTGTAACAGCGCTCAGATTAAGACGAGGGGGAGGAAAAGTCACATTCTCTACATGCTCCGAGGAACAAAGCCTCTTTTGACCAGCACACATTCCATATTACATACTGTATGTGGTGAATACGACCGCCTTGACTTAACTTCAACCAAAGTATACTTAACTCTGGTACATAAGACACTTGTACACCTTCCTTCTGTTAAGCTTTCTGATAGATTGACAGCTGAAAAGATTGTCTTCATTTTTGTCACGTTATTTGTCTGTAGAGAGAGTTTGGATCGTCAGGCACAAGGATTTCAAAAATGATTCATGGCCTACTTCTTTTTGCATTTTTTATTCCCAGCTTCAACCCAACCGAGGATACAGCAAACCTAAGATATTGAACAGCTGCTCATTCTTTCCCTACCTATGGAAAACAGCTTTTTCCCACAAGGAAAAACAGTAAAGGGAAACTTGAAAAATTACCATTTTATCTCAAGCTTCTCTGGGATGCTCTGCTTTAGTGAAACTTCAAAAAAGAAAGGGAACACAATTCATATCCCTCTTTTCATTTTTGTTTCAATTGTTCAGAGTACTAGCTCACTGCTCTGTCGAGGATCGGCTGTTATCTACCTGCTAATGTGAGAGCATACAGGCAACACCGTACTTTAGAGGAAACAATAGAAGTGAGTGTGCATGAAGCAAACCCACGGCTATTTTGAAAGGTCCTTCTGCAGAAGTGGCTCTGCCCTGAAGAGCAGTTGCACATGAGCGGATGCTGCAGCAAAGCTTTTTACTCTGTGAATGACTCAAAACGGGCTCTGTTTTACACCAGACTCTGTATTGGATTTTTTTCAACAGCAGTACCCAAAACTAAGAACCCTTGAACCAAACAGTGAGTGAGTTTACCTGGACTTGAGTATCCTGGTTCTGGAGCCTTATCCCAGTTTTGATCACATTCAGGATCTGGTGTTTACATGCACAGAGAAACCTTATTGATATCCCTGTATACATGATAAATACTAGCATCCTGGTCTCCGACTTCTGCATCTTATTTGTGTAGGCGCCTGCAATGTTTATTTTTAAGTATTAAATGCAAGCATCATTGCAGTTATGGCATATCAACCTCATTTCCAGAAATAAGAGAAGAGAGCTCCAGAAGTAAGACACTCTGATGGACGCCGCCATGTTTGTTTTGTTGATACGTCACTTGGCATGAGGCCACGTCTGCACAGGTAGTCAGCAGGTAGTTGGAAACCGTGCTATGGTGTATACATCCCATCCCAGTTCTCCAGGTAGCAAAATCTGGTTTCTCAGAATCAGGATATGATGTTTAAATTCACAGACACAAAATTGGATACTTGAAACAAACTGATTAAAACCAGGACACTCGAGTCCATGTAAACGCTCTCAATGTCAAGCGAAAGGGAAACTGCAGTATTTATCAACATTGGAGTGAGTCAAATAGTTTAGTCCATTTTGACAGTTTATCACCAATCTCAAGTCTGGTGAACACAGACAACAAAGTGACTGGTGGTGGCCGCCTACAGCTTTCCAAAAAGCTTAAATTTGTAAGAAGTAGACCAGAAAAACACAGAAAGCAGTGCCCTAATACTCCCTGGAAACAAACTGAATAGTGTTGTAGAGCAATGAGCCACAACTGCTGCCACTAATCTAGCATGTAGGTATGAGGCTAAGTCTTTGTATCACAAATCCCTACTACCATCTCTGCCATAGACAAAATATGCAAACAAACAAGTATGAAAACGTCTTTTTAAAGAAGGACCTGAGTATGAAGGGGAAGTATTTGTGTGCTCATGGTGACAAAGGTCAAATATCTGTTTCCCCTTGTCAGGCTGTAAGGCAAAATATTTTTTTTGGCATATTCAGATTCATTTTGGGAAGTCTTCACAAAAATAAATACAAGATGTGATTCTGCAAATTGGGTTCAAGCCACATTTGGAGGCAGTTCACACGGTGTGATTCAAATCAAACCCCTGCAGACGAGTCTCTATTTGAGAGATCTGGATTCCTGATGCAATTTGAAAACCAGGAAACAGAAGTTTATCAGAGCAGCGGAGCAGAAAATGCTGCTACTGGCCGCTGCGCGTGAGTTTGTCTGTTACAACAGAGGGGGTCTGCACCGCAACTTGACAGTGTGATTGTTTGGAGGGCGGGATGATGATGGGTGTTGGGTTCTCATGATCTGCGTGGGAGAGCCATGCGATGAGAATACGTAGTCACAGACGTCTGGACCTCGTAACCACAACAACCCACACAGATCGCTTGGTGAAGTCTGGATGCATATATCTGATGGGGAATACATTTGATGTAGCCTCCAGTCTGAACAAAGTCGTACCCTCTCTACATCCTTAACCTCTTTCCTTAAATGTCTGAGTGGTCAGTTTGTTGAACAGAATCAGGAATATGTTGCATTTACTTCATTTTTGTAGTTGTTTGTTCAGTTTGTGAGTCATTGGGTCCATGTGTTCTTTGACTCAGACTGCTGACAATTATCAGTCCTGTGGAAGGAAAAGCAAATAACACAAGTCATTCCTGTCAATTAGGGCTGCAGTCACATGGTTATGGATCAGATGCAAAGATTAGATATCAAGGTGTGTGTGTGTGTGTGTGTGATTTTTAAACTGCACTAAAATGATTACATGTGTTACGTAGGAGGTTTAAAAAGGTAAAAGGAAAGAGGCCATAAAAAACATGCCCACCTCCTCAGCTCTTCCTGATCCCACTCCCTGTGCTTATCTCTGTGTTTTCCTCTCCCAGTGCCTGAGGATGTCCAAGCGGAGCTTTTTTGTTCGTCTGGTGCCGTGCCGCTGCTTGCGGGGTGAGGAGGAGGCAGTGACATCGCTGGACTACTCCCACTGCAGCCTGGAGACTGTTCCTAAGGAGATCTTTAGCTTCGAGAAGACCCTGCAGGAACTCTACCTCGATGCCAACCAGATCGAGGAGCTGCCTAAAGTAAGTCACACACGCTGATGCATGGAAACTTTGTGTTAATGCACCACAGAAAGTCTTTAAACCACATGAAAGCGTTAGTCCTGAGGCCTTGAATAATGACTTTTTGCATGCATAACTTGTACATCTCTCATAAAAAGCTTGCATTGTGTTCTTCATTCATATTTATTTTGGAAGAAGAGTCTTATGAATGATGCAACAAACAAACAATGAGGCCATTTAAACATTAATTTAATGCAGTATTTTCTTGGTAAACAATACACTTTTTGATAAAACTGTAATGACTTGTACTCTCTCTCTCCACCAGCAACTGTTTAACTGCCAGCTACTCCACCGGCTGAGCATGCCAGATAACGATCTAACGGTGTTGCCGGCAGCGATCGCAAACCTCATCAACCTCAGGGAGCTTGACGTCAGCAAAAATAGTAAGAAAAATGGCGGGGTTAATGTGTCTTGTAAACCTGTTGCGTCAGATCATGTTGCTGAAACCTTAAAAAAAAAACTGACCACAGACACTCGGCTTAGTGACCTGTGAAGTTCAGATGTGTCCTAGTTGTCCTGCTGTTGTCATGGCTACTAGAGACGATAATCAAAAACCCTGAGCTTGTCAAGCGAGACTTGTGTAACTGGTTCCATGTTTTTATTGCTTCAAAGATGTTCTGAGGTAAAATGTCACAGCGTGTCTCATTTACCGCACGTTACGCCACAAGAGTGCTCGACTGAAACTCCTGACGTGATGGATTAAGGAAGTAGACAAGTCCAGTCCTGTTTCACACCAAACACTGTCTTCATAGGAAACACAGATTGAGCTCTTATACCGTAGACTGTAGAAGAAATGCACACAGTGACTCCACCACTCAAATGTGATACCTTGAGTTTTGAGATTATTTTTCTTTAATTTAGATCAAGATCTTTTTCACAGGGGTGAGCTGGCCAAGAGGGCAGCAGAACACGTCGTAGTAAATGTGACATTATTAAGAAACAGTTTACAAACAATAAGTTAAGCGGAAACAACGATTACAATGTGAAAATCTGTTTACAGATAAAGTGCAGAGACGTGATGACGGGCACTGTCCCAATTGTCTCGCGTTTTCTGTCTTTTAAGATCAAGCGAAATGATGTCTGCCATTTTGTCCTCCATCATCTTTGTGTCTCCATCCATCAGATTAAATTTACATATGCTGAGTGAGAGAGTTATTTTTTTTCTTTTCATAGAATATTTGGTATTTACTCGGACAAATTTAGACTTTTGGGATCTGCAACTTTCCTTTTGCGATGATGAAATTGCAATTTATTGTGCACACTTAATCGCTATATTTGACTAAATCTGATGGCTTGGAGTAACCCAGAACTTCCACCAGATACGAGCGCATTGATGTCAGCTCCACTACGTTGCGGCTCTGTGCTCCCTCATCCGTCAACACACACAGGCTGCGTTCTCAGAGCGCAGCACAGCCGGTCAGCTGGAGTGCAGAGACAAAAAAAAAAGCTCTCCTTTATTTGATACTTTCTGACCATGTTACCTACTTTTACTGCACTTCACTTTCGCTTCTCTTGTCAGACCTCGGAGGCTGCGTGCACTTCTCATGCACCGTCTCTGTTTTTTTTGCACAAACAGTGAGAATATCTGCACACGGCGCTCAGCTCAAAGTTTCATCACTGGGTGGGAAAAGTGACAGCGACTGTCAAAGTGTGACATTTACCTTCTTTGAAGATAAACATTTGCATTGTTCAATGTGAGCTTCGTACTGGAAGTCCTTTTCATGTTCGCCTGTTTGATGAGAACTTTCCGCTGTCAGCGGCGTCCTCGTCTTGACATTTAGAACAAAAAACAGCTGCAAGGTGTCTGACGGCTCTCTGTTGTCACGCCAAGGTGGATGAAGAATCAAATCAGGTGTTTGTGCTGTTTTGAAGACATCTTCCTGTTGAATATTATACAACATGTTGTCCGTGTTTTACCATGAACGTCACAGTCTGATTTTACCTTTCAGTTAGAAGTTTTTTAAAAAGTGGTTAAACTGCAGATAGGCAGTGGTGGACAAAGTACAGACCTTTATGACTCAAGTCAAAGTAGAGATCTTCCTGGTCAAATACGACTCCAACACAAGTTGAAGTTGCTGGAGGACTTGCTTTTTCAAAATCTCTAAACATTGTTGTATGTTCAGAATGTGTGTACATTCTGCTACGTTATGTTTATTTAGAGAGCATTATTTACATTTACTCTCATGCTACAGATTTCCAGATTTGCAGCTCCAAAATAAACAAAACTATTAAATAAATAAACAGAAAACTACCAGATGAGCAGGAGAAATGTCAGCCAGGCTTTACACAGTGACAAAACATTCACAGACATATCAGTCGTTGCAAGGGCCTCTTGAACGCTTAACACTGTGCAGCATTATTCTTATTCCTGTTGATGCTGAAGTAGCTACAGCTCAACTCACATTTTAGTTACTTTCCACATCTTGGTTCACGGTGTCAGATAGTTGATGATCTCTGTGTAACCCTGAATTGAAGCAGAACCGAAAAGTAAAGAAGCGTGCACGCTCAGCAAAAAAAACTATTTCATGGGAAAAGAAAGGCCAAAGGGTTGTTCTAATATAACTGGATGATCGTGGAGATCACCAGATTAAACCAACATTGAAGGCTGATGTTGTGTTTTCATGACCCAGAGCTTCATGTGCCATGTTGACATTAAAAGAAGCTCATCCTTCCTCACAAAAGCACTCTGCGCTGAGTGTTGTGGACACAGAACCAAGTGGGTGGAAATCAACCTTGAGACTCCGTCACATCTCGTCTTTCTTGCAGTAAGCACAGAACGCACTTTAAAGGACGATCGCTCAGTGTTTGATTGTTCTCCTTGTTCCTTTTCTTCTCTTTTATACGTCACCTTGAGCACTCGCCTGTGTGGCTGTTAGGAAAGGAAAGGTGCAGCAGAGCACACAAGCCACCTGTGTTTGATATTCTAAAAGCTTCTCCTGCTAGACAACAAGCTACAGCTTCTTTATCGCTTCTCTCTTTGGTTATGACAGCAGTGTTTCCCACACACATAGACGATACCTGGGCAGGCCGCTCAAGTATATATCCGATATATAATTTTATATTCATAAAATTGCTGCATGCACGAGAAAGCGAGAGAGAGAGAGCGGGGGAGAGCGCCAAATGCGGGTAGATACCAAAAAGTAATGCGATGTCAAGCTCAAATTGTATTAAAAAGAAGCGACCCAACATTGCTGCACAAACGTGCACACACGCACACTGGAGCGCCAGCCACCACACACACCTTTTTTCTTTTAGTGCAACAGCACACAGTCGATCCGTTAACCATCTGGACCGAGTCGGGAACTCTCATGATCCGGTCAAACGGTCAATTCGACTTTACTTCTTTCACTCTCACCGTGTCTGCAGCTAACTTAACAATAGCAACGTCCTCTCACAGCAGCCTGCTGTAGTCTGTGAACATCTCCACTCAGATTAAAGCAGCATATAAATAAACCCTAAAATGAGAGTTAAAAAACACTGCACAGGAGTCGAGATTAAACAACATGCAGGTACTGTATGCACGGAAACTTAAACTTTTCCTTCTGTTTCCTTTTTCTGTTCAGGTATCCAGGAGTTTCCAGAAAACATAAAGAATTGCAAAGTCCTAGCTGTTGTAGAAGCAAGCGTGAATCCCATTTCTAAGTGAGTACTGCCAGCTCTTGTTCTCTTCATTATGACTTAATGTTGAACAGTTCTTGTATTGCAGCAGCTCGTGTGAGCTTTTCTGTAAATGATGTGAGTCATGTTTGTGTTTATATTTAACCTTTAGTCTGTTTTACGTCACTGTGCACATGCAGAACTTTCTGTTTTTAAATATTTCTCAACCTGTCTTGATTCCTGTTTCAGTAAATTTCTAATGAAACTCTGATATTTTTTGGGAGTTATTTTGTGTTGCAGTTTGTTGCTGCATTGACTTGTTTGAAAGAGACGTACAAATAACGTCTGGCTGATGGATTGATTGATGTGTTCACAGGCTCCCAGAAGGCTTCACCCAGCTCCTGAGTCTGACGCAGCTCTACCTGAACGATGCCTTCCTCGAGTTCTTACCGGCCAGCTTTGGCAGGTCAGTTTGTCCTCCTCTGGTCGGGGATTAGCATTATTCTCACAAAGTTTACAGACTGTGTGCCACACTCAATGTTTAATGAGAAGCCACCTGTAGTAGCTAGTAGTAAGGCGGCCCGATGGGGAGCTAACGACAACACACACTTTGACCCGATGAAGTGACATAAAACACCTTAACAAATATTTATTATTAACAGACTAAATCATTGCAAAGAGCAACTCAAAAGTAATTTAACAACACACAATGAGTGACTGAGAGGCACCATGCTGCAGTCCCAACTCCAAAAGGCCCTCTCCTCCTGGTGTCAGCACTGGGCTTTGAAGCATGGAGGCCACATGCACCTTGCTAGTTGATCAGTCGCTTCACCTGGGCAGAGCTGGAGACAACAGGAGGGGAGAAGGGACAAACAGCACGGGGAAACATGCACTTGTAACACGAGGCTCTGACATTGCAGGGTTAATCTGATTTGGGGACTTCTGCTTTACACAACTTGAATAAAAGTCTAAATATAAAGGACTCAAATCAAATCTTTGCTTTTCTGTAGAGTTCTTTTTAAAAGCGTTGAATTACATCAAAATAATTTAAGCAACTTTGATTTATTGGCACAGCTTGAAACGGTTAAAATCATCCAAGGAGATTTCCTCTCGCTGTGCAATCCTCAGCGGGGCCAGGTGTCACGCTGACAAAATATTGATGATGTAAGACTCCCTTATGTCGTCTCACTGCCAATTTCCACACAAGTCCGTGCACGGCTCCGTCCATCAGCACCGTTTGCTGCCACTCTAGTCAACGCTCCTGTTTCCACAGCGAGCACCACAGTTCTGTCTCTGGAGCGTGCCAGCAGCGCCACTTCACTCTACTCCATTTCAAAGACGCTGCGAGTCTATTTTTTGAAGGAGCCCACTGCAGGCATGCGTCAAGCTGGACAGAAGAGATCGACCTGGACAGGAAATCAGACAAGGAAACACACAGAGGCCCAAAATGAACAACAAAGAGAAAGACAAAGCAACATGTTCTCTGCACCTTTTACCTCTTTATTTATTTATTCAGTATCTTGTAATTCTCCTGTGATTGTTGGGACCCTGTGAGTACGGCTGCTCACACTCCAGCAACGGACTCAGTGGGGCCGTCCGACAGACTTTAGCGTGCACCTTAATAGTAGGAATGCATCTGTTCAAGATCAGTATTTGCCGATATCGGCCATGTTCACAGACATGAACACATCAGCAAATAATGTCATCTAGTGCAGCTTACTACTGATTCAGGGAAGAGGTTTTTTAATTGGGTACATGAAGTCACCTGTTGGATAAACACTGACTTGAAAAGTTTGGCATTGTCGGAGTATGACACCAAAAGAAGTCAGGAAACAAACATCGGTATTGGCTCGGATTTTCCCAATCGGTGCATCTCCTCTAAATAAGTAAAGAAATATTTGTTAGTCTTGGTTTCAAAACTTGCTCTCACTGCGCCACATGAAGTAAAACAATCATTTGATTTATCATCAATTATTAAACAGGCTTTTAAAGGGGATATAAACAAAGTGACTTAATTAAAAAGCAGCTTTGATGACATGATTATTGGACACATGCACATCTTTTAATTTTCTAAAAAGGCCAAAAAAAATTATGAAACCAGCAGCATCACTGACGGTCTTATTGTTTGTCGCTTAAACAACAATTAGTGTTGAGCCTCCTCATGATGCCGAGCATGTGACAACCCATAGGCCTTTTTTTTTTCTTTTTTTTTTTATAATGCTTCTTCCTTAATGGTCGCCCTACTTTAGCACAACATGAGTGGTCTTTTTGTTTGGGAGAATAAAATGAACAGCGCACCGTTTCATGTAGCTGGTTAGCAGCTGTGGGCGGTGATATTATGAAGGTTTCTTTAATTGGAATGATTTGATAAAAAGAGACGATTATGTGGAAAAAAAAATCCTTCTATATTAGTGCTTGACACTTTTTTAAAACTTTTTAACTGTTGCAGGTTGACGAAACTACAGATCTTGGAGCTGAGGGAGAACCAGTTAAAGATGTTGCCAAAGTAAGTGGTTTTTCCTTCACATATTACAAACAGTAGAGACACAGTATGTGCATTTAGTCCTCAGTATTCAGACGCGGTGTTGGTAATGGAGCGGCTGTGGCTCAGTTGGAAGGGGCAGTCGTCCCTCAAACGGAAGGTCGAGGGTTCAATCCCCAGCTCTTGCAACTACATGTCCGTTGTGTCCTCTTGCAAGATACTTAACCCTGAATTGCTCCCACTGCTTCGTCTGTGGCGTATGAATGGATGAGTTACTTCTGATGGAAGATTTGACGATTTATTCCCCCTTTCTCTGTGTTCAGTGTAACAATGAACGTCCATATCTGTTGTGTTTCGATGCTACTCCCTGACACATTTCATTTTCACTCAGTCAGTCTTTTCCATTGTTGAGTCTGATGAAGACGTTTGACTCTCAAGTTTCTACCCACTTTACCCGTTTATTTAAGGAGCACTCGCCTCCGCAAAAACCATGACGAACATTAGAGGGACGCCTGCCCGTCTTTTTTCAAACACAAAATATTCTTTAATAACTTGACTCCCCTAATTAATCAGTCTCTTAACACGGTCATATAGGTGAAAAGTTTATGCACAAAAACTGAAGAAAAGGTCTATTTTCATTGGTGCTCAAGAATTCTCTTTAAAATCAATTGTATTGGTAACCGTTGAATTTTTCTCTCTTGAATGTGCGGCATGATCGGACTCTGAAAGCTTGTATTTGTCATCCTTTATTCTCAACGACTCAAAAACCCAAAAACTTTCAGCGAGCAGGTCGAGAGTTCTGATCTTCTTCCTCACAAACCCCTGCAGTGTCTCTGCTGCGTCCTCCAATCTTCTTTTTTTTTTTTTTTTTTTTACAGTACATTCCCTCCCCACCCCTCTAACTGTAGTATTAAATTCCACGGTGTTACATAAGAGCCCCCTTTTTCTCTGGCTGCTTGCTGTGGCAGGTTTTATAATCCTCCGCCGAGACAGTGCTGAGGGTTATTTCACCATTTGAGAAGTGCCACTGGGGAGACAAAAACAAACGTCCCACAAATATTTGTGAAAGCTCCAGGTGATTGTGGGAGAAGTTGCTTTCTCTTTCTGTCCTCTCTCTCTCTCACGCCTTGCTCGCTCTACCGTTCGTTTCATCTCCTTCCTGTTTTCTCAGCAAAACTGCATTTCCCTCTTTGCCTTTTTTTTTTGTCCTTCCTCTCTCGGGCTGGGTTTCTATTATCACTCACTCTTCTTTTTCTTCTTTTTCTCTGACTAACTGATTGACGGACGTGCAGCTCCATGCAGCTCCTCTCTCCCCGCTGTGTTTATGTGACAGAGGCCAGACCCGTTAAAGGCTGGAGCCCTGACAAAGAGAGGGGACTAATGATCGGGAACGTTGCCAGAGCAACACACACAAGCATTTCAGACATGTAAACAAATGTGTGCGTGCACAAAAGGGGGTGCAGCAGAAGTCTTTTCATGCCTTCCACATAGACGCTGCTGCAGCCTCTTTTCTCTCTCACGCGCACTGAGCACATGCATGAACCAAAAGTTTCTCTAGTATGATGCTGCGTTCCTCACAAGCAAGAGGTCAAAAAGTTAGTGAAGTAGTGTGAATTCACTCTGTAGACGAGCCAGCACAGCTCCTTCAGCTCACACAGGGGGTGTGTGTGTGTGTGTGTGTGTGTGTGTGGGGGGGGGTCGCCCATGTTCTTGCCAACTTTGAGGTAAGAATGTGACAAAGTTGGCGTCGTCTCAAAAAACATCCACATAAAAGTTTTCACATTGCAGCAAGTGCTTAGAGAAACACCAAAGGCTTTAAATCATATCTATGATTTTAAGCTGCGTGTCTACATTCTCCTTTTTTTTCTTTTTTTTTTTTTTTAAATGAGGGGCAGCTACAAAACACAACAGACTCCACAGAAGTGTTGGTGGCCATCCTTCTGCTGAATCTCACTCATGCCCGCTGTGAGAGGATCATCGTATCTGTTCCCAAACAAAAACTCTAAACGTCTACATTTCATCTACTCCGACGCTCCCTCTTGGTTATTTTGTTGAACTTGTGATCCCCTCTTAAACTTTTTAAACAAACACTCACACTACTCCAAACGACAGATAAAGGGGGGAGCATTTTTAAGATGGCAACACCCAGTCTGCTGTGAAAGCTTTTGTGCTGCGTTTGTGGGCTGAGGAGAGAAGTTTAGCTCGGTAAGAGTTCATGTTTTATGGTCTTAAAGCATAGGAAGAATGCCTATAGCAGTGACTGTGGGATCGTGCCTCCATATAAGGGAGTACATTTTACGTTCCTTTCGGTAGTAAAACATCCATTATAAGCGTGAGATGATGGTGTCATGCTGCATTCAGGTGCTCCTCGGATGGCCTCAGTTTCTCCAGTTGGGAAGTTGTTCTTCTAACTTCAGTGTGTTGATGGGATTTCAGTTCAGGGCTTTACTTTCCCCAATTTTCGGAGTTGTTTATCCGACTTGAGCAGACGTTCACGTGCATTTTACAACTCGGAATCTCGTTTTTCCCGATGTGTCTGACAGCACATGAATGCACCATCAGTATTGAATGATTGCACAGTTTATTTCGGCCATGCTTTTGTGGCTTCGACATTTTAAAGATGGTTTGTTATTTTGTTTTTGTACTGATTTTTAGTAAAGTTTTCGTAGTCTTTTCTTCCTTAAATATGTGCATTACTTTTCTTTTTCTTTTTATTCTGCCAGAATTGCAAAATATAAAGACTTGATCAGGGTGTGTAATAACAGGCCCTCTAAGCTGATGAGTTTCAGTTTTAGAGGGGCAGCCAAAGTTCATCTTGTCATGTATCTACTGCAGTGATTGAAGTTTCAATTTGTCTTTTTCAGCACATTTTGGAGATTTTGAGACTAAAACACTCTCACTTTAGCTGCTAGGAGCGATAAGCACCTCTCTGTGCTTTACTAGTGACCTGTTAAATAACATAAAGTAAGAGTTAGAGCAGTTGTCTAGTCCTGGTTTGTATCTGCTTGTTTACTTTTCTAGCACAGAGTGTGAGCCTGCGACCTGAATGTGGGGGAGAGAAAATTCTTGAGCTGAGGCTTAGAGCTAGCATACGTCACTTTTTCCATTATTTAAAACATATTTCTGTCACGCCTGAGCACCTTGAAGGTATTTATTTGCTTGTAAAATGATTGAGCAAAGTTAGAGAATGTATGCTGTTTAATATTTCACATTAAAACTGACAGTTAATTACTTTTTTTATTGCCTGCGTTTCGGAGCACGTTGCAAATTATCCTTGTTGTTTCTTTCTGTCGGGAGAGGAAGGCGGTCAGTTTAAGTGACACTTTTCTACTTGTGAAAACATCAAATATGTGATTTTCTGACTTGATATCCCCGTTGATATTTTTTAAAGATCTCACACCCTGTCTGTGTCCTGTTTGTCCACAGGAGCATGCATAAGCTCACACAGCTGGAGAGGCTGGACCTGGGGAGTAATGAGTTCACTGAAGTGGTGAGTATCTGTCAGCCACTTTGCTGATGCCCACGGCTTTCTACCTTTCTGCTGGTGACCTCACCTTTCACTGTCCTTAATCTGTCCCTTCTCCTTAACCTGAATTCTTTGAAATGTAAGGCATCTCTTGCATTTTTAATCGTGAAGCAATATTTTCTTTTTACATATTTTGGAGTCTAAATGACTAAAAGGGAACACAAACATCTCGAATCCCAACATCAAAAAGTCCATTGAAAGAGCTTTGACTGTAAAACAAGCGAATAATGAAGTGTCTCAAGTACCCTCTGAGATGGACCTAATACCGATCCCTGTGGGATCCCAACATAAAAACAACGTTCGGTGTGTCCAGCTCCGTTGCTACCCATCGGCCCCCTGCTGCCTTTTTTTGGGGGGGCAGATTCCACATGTTGAATCAGGTTCAGTGCAGTTGGTGATAGGTATCACTGTGATTGGCTGTTCAGCTCAGTGAATCAGTGCATGAGAAGAAAAAGGGGAGTGACTAAAGGAAGTGAATGACCTCAACTTTTTGTGAGACATACTTCTCGATTAGTGAGCGACAGCGGTGTGAAAACGGTCTTCTCGTATCATAACAACGGTTTATATATCTGCGTTCTTCTCCCTCCTCGTCCTTTTCTGAAGACTTTGAATAACAATCTGATCTGAAACTTTTAATGGGCGGCTGACTTTGATTTAGTGCGTTCGCCTGCGGTGATACGCTGCCGGCTAAAACAATCTTCTATTGCATCTCAAAAACCCATTAGTCATTTAGACCAGAACAAATGCAGAAATATGGGCTCAGGTTAGAAAAGACCGAAAAAAACAAAACAGAACTCCTCTGTGAGCATACACGGAGAAGGAGCTCATTTGTAACCATCGGAAGACGCAGCGTTAATTAAGACATCATAATCACATTAAGGGTAATAAATACATTTCCTCATGATTCATTTTTAGCTTGTTTTTGAGTGAAGCTCTTCTTCCTGTTTCTGTCTCTGCCCAGCAGGCTCTCACACACACACACACACACACACACACACACACACACACACACACACACACACACTCTCTCCAAAACACATAACCCTATCACTTAACCTCCTTCTTTCTCTCCACATCCACAGCCTGAGGTGTTGGAGCAGCTGACCGGAATCAAGGAGCTGTGGATAGACGGCAACAGACTGACGTTTTTACCTGGGGTAACTATGACTACAATCCATTCCTGCACACACACACACACACACACACACTCACACTCCGTGGCTGCTTCCAGAAACATCATCTTTACATCATTTCCCTTGATTTTCAGTCTTCATGTCGGCTTAAATCTCCGTCAAACTGGGGCGCAGTCAAGTCAGTTCGCATCAGACTGTCAGGCCTTTTGAAGAAGCGAGCAGAAGAAGCCGCGCCAGTTTAAAAATGTTTCTCTCCCTGGATGAACACAATTAGACCGTTTTACAGGGAAAGACGTACTTTTGGGTTTGCAGATGTCCCAGTTATAATTACCAAAAAAAAGCAGCTGTGAAGTAATTATTTTCTTTGAGCATAATTAATTTATAACGATGTTTTGATAGTCGGAAAGTGTTAGTGTACCAGGGATTTTTTTCTTCCAAATGGCCAGCTTGTTTGTAACTGGGTCATAATTAAAGCATTTGTTTGGCTGCCAGCGCCGCAACAGCATCAGCTGTAATCACATTCTGGCCTTTTTTTTTTTTAATAAGCCATGACGTTTGTGTGAATGCTGCAAATGTTTTCATGCGTTTGTTAATGTGTGTTTTTAAATGGAAAAGTTTGCAATCCCACCAGCATTGCTACAGTTGGTTCTTAGGGCACACTCACACTAGGCAAAGTTGTCCCGGACCGCCCTTAAGCACGATTTCCCCCCATTGTGTCTTATTTTGACTCATTTTAGTCAGAAACAGCTCCAGGATTTCTCATTAATGAACACTGTAATTGTTGTGTACCCGTGCTTGTGCTCAAACTGTACCGTGCCAAATCACACCTCCTGTGTGCCAGGACCACGGAAGATTTGGAGCACTCACACCAGTCAAACGAACTGGATTTTAGGGTTTGATGGGTGCTTGGGCACGGTACAGATTGCCTAGTTTGAGTGCGCCCTTAACCTCACCTATAGCGTCTTTAGCCTCTGCATTCAACCAACACTACTGCTGCGTTCCATTGTACTCAGAACTCGGGGAAATAAACGACTTCTGACTCGGAAAAGTGCAATGGGAACGGTCACTCAAGTCGGAATTCCAAATTGGAAACTCGGGCAGGATCCATTCAGACCGAGTCGGTGGAATTGATGTCGAGGGAAGTTGTTTTTCCTTGAGTTCTGAGAACAGTGGAACGCAGCATTAACACGGCACTCGTTTATCTTACACAGTTTTGAGCTGTGTGGTAAGTTCTATACGAGCAAGACAGAGAGCAGACGCCGTTTCTCACTGATGTTGCTTTGGCAGCTCATGTAGGTACTCAGTACTTGCTTCTGATGCTCTGAGGCCAGCAAAAGAAACATGAGCTTCCTGCAGGCATCCATGTTTTTCACCAGCAGATGCACTGGAGCGCATTTAGATCTGAAGTCAGAAAAACCAACACTGAATTATCAAATTCTGACTTCCAGCTGTATTCTTGTCATACCTTTCACGACGATGTGTTACTATGAGGGTATTGATTGTGTGTGTCTGTTGAAATTAAATTAGATGCTGGGGACGCTCAAACAGCTGGTGTACCTGGATGTTTCTAAGAACAACCTGGAGATGGTGGATGAGCAGATCTGCGGCTGTGAGAATCTGCAGGACCTCCTGCTGTCCAACAACGGCCTCACACAGCTGCCGGGCTCCATCGGTAAATATTACACACACACACACACACACACACACACACTCTCACTCAAACACACACACGTCTCGATGTTGAGAACACATTATGAAACAGCCTGCCTGTGCATTTTTCTTTATTGTCCATACCTGTGTAGTTTATGGAAAAGTCTCATAGATGACGTTATGGCAGATGTTTCTTCTCAGCTAAAAAGACCATCATGTAAGAAAAGAAGAAGCAGAAAAAAAATCTCCTTACAGCAGCTTCCTGACAGTTTCTCTTGTTGCACTTGTATTAATCGTGCATTTAAAGAAAAAGGTTGTATACTGTTCAGTACATAGACCTTGTGGAGTGCTGGACTGATTGAAAAGACCCCTCAATTAAAGTCAATAAGTGACCTGAGATGGGATAAACGTCAGCTCCCCCTTCCCATTGGCTCGAGGTGAATTCTCCTGGTAATATCCTGCTGCGTTTTCACATCAGCTCACTTGGACTTGCTGCGGGAAAAATAGATAAATAGATACTTTATTGATCCCGAGGCAAATTCAAAGCATCCAGTAGCAGGTTACAAAGACGTACATGACATGAAACATTTGTTACAAATGAACCACAAACCCCCCCCCCCCTCCCCCATACATATATATTAACCTGAAGAAAAAGATTTAAAGAATACCTCTAGATGAATCAAACTTTAACTGTGCAATTAAAAATAGACTTGTACAAGAAATGTACATAACCCGTGCAGGGATAAAAATGTGAGATTTAAACAAGAACCTTTAAACAGTTGAGGAAAAAAATCTGTAATTAGACCTGAATATAAAAAATAAAAAAAGTGTTGACCTTCTGAAGTTGTGTTGTTTATATATGTACAGCAATGTTTAAAAAGAAGACATTAAATAACAGTCAGAGCAAAACATTAAAGGTGCGATTTAAATGATGGGTGATGTTCGTCAAGAGTGAGGTAAGCATTAAAGTGTCCAACTAGAGGCTGTCTCTTGGTACAGCTGTGCAGATGGAAAATGGAAAAAGGAAGAGGTGTATAAGAGTGATGACTCCTCACATTTTTTAGGACTGAGCTTTTATCCACCTTTGCATGTTTCTAAAATGTCTAGATTTTTATTCCACCTCTATGTTCAGATATATGATCCAGTATTTACTCACTTCCTTTAATCCCTAAGGGGAGGAAAAAGTATTGTCCGTGAGTACAGACCAAGCTAATGAAATCAGACGAGCGTTGATGCACAGTGCTTTAGAGCCGGGGTTGATTTCTGTATTGATGACGGTACGAATCAATCCAATGAAGTGCTGTAATGGATATCACTCTTTGTTGTGCAACAGTGAGTGATAATCACTAACTGCCCTGAGCTGCTCCCCTCTAACTCTCTCTCTCTCTCTTTCCACTTTCTAGGCTCTCTGAAGAAGCTGACCGCGCTGAAGGTGGATGAGAACCAGCTGATGTACTTGCCCGACTCCATCGGCGGGTGAGCGTAACAGCAGTCGCTTTAACATGAGCAGAATAAACCCCGGAGATCAGTGGATTATTGTCTCATCTCCCGTCCCACTGATCACATAAAACGTCTGTCTGGATAAATCACATATTCCCCATTAAGCGTAATGTTGTTCGACGCTTTATTTGTTTTGGTTTAATGCCGATGATATCGAGTAACCTGATTAATATCCGTGATTGTGGAGCATGAACCACCATAATTGAATGTCATGGTTCAGAGACATGTTGATTTACGATCGTGCTGCGTTGGATGGTAATCTCGAGGCCAGATGACCCTCCATCGCAGCACTGTCGGATTAAATTCACTGTGGCTGTTCTCAGACTGATATTGTCTGAAGCAGACAGGTGGATCCGACAGCTGCTGATTCCAGGTCCACATCCTGATCCTGTCGTCCATCATAAAGATTAAGATCCTGATTTAATCGTCAAACGCATCTTTCTTTTTTCATCTGTCCACTCACACGTTCACACACAGCGACACATCTACATGAAAAAACAATCACGACGCTTTTATGTCCTCCATTGTTTCCAAACAGCACACATCCTCGATTGTCCCGTATGCTAGAATGTGTCTCCTTGTGTAATTTGATACAGATTATGCGATAAAGCCTGTGGTTTAGTTTAATCCCATGCAAGGATTTCAGCTTAAACAAGCTGATTTTTTTCATTCATTCATTCTTAGCTGATTTGATTCAGCCCCACTGTTCCTTGCACGGTGTTGTTTTTGTCCATGTTATGTATTCAGCAGAGAGGGGTCAAATCCGTTGTTTTTTGGACTTTGATGGTATTGTAACACAGAAGCTAGTCCCGCTAGTCGCAGTCTAGTTTTTGTTCGCCTGAATTCCCAGAATGCATTTGCATATTTAATTCAGCAGAAAGCTCCAGCGTCGAGGCACGATCTGTGTCAACATGGACTCGCTTAAAAAAAAAAAAAATGTCACTGCATCAAATGGTGTCCCATGAAGGTTTTAAAATGCATCTTTGTTGTTGTTGTGAATGTCTCGCGGGGTGTCGCTGTTACTTTAAGAAAACGGTCTCATGAGCTGCGACTGTATTTAAAATGCAGCGTGATTAAGGGAGTTTTATAGACATTTTTAAAGGAGCAATCTGTAAGATATGTAGAAACTGAAATGATAAAGTGACCTTACTCTCTGATCATTAAGGAAACATGCTATGTTGAAGTGCTGGCTTCTCTGACAACAATGCAGCAGCCAGTATGTCCTCCTCCTAACTTTAGATTCTGCTCCTGAATGCTCTGGATTAGAAACGACAGCAACAACAAATAAAACACGTTCTGCATCATTCAGAAGAGATTGGAAGCTGTGTCTCGTAGTTTGTACTCGTTGTGTTTTAATTCCAACTCTTAATTTGTAAATCCTTCTGCGTCATCAGGCTGGCGTCCCTGGATGAGCTGGACTGCAGCTTCAACGAGATCGAGGCCTTGCCCTCCACCATCGGTCAGTGTGTCAGCATCCGCACGTTTGCTGCAGATCACAACTTCCTCGCCCAGCTCCCTCCTGAGGTGAGTGATTCACACTGACATACATATGTGTGTGTGTGTGTGTGTGTGTGTGTGTGTGTGTGTTAAATGGTGTGGTGTGTCTGCCTGCTCAGCTGTAACAGCTCGCCCTGTCAGCTCATGACTCAGAATATTTGGTGTCTTCTCCTCACAGATGGGAAACTGGAAGAATGCAACCGTGCTCTTCCTGCATTCCAACAAGCTGGAGACTTTGCCCGAGGAGATGGGCGACATGCAGAAGCTGAAGGTCATAAATCTGAGCAACAACAAGTGAGTCTGGACCCGCAGTATTCATGCATAATAAGGGTCAAGTTTGAGGCCAAAGGCGTATATTTCTGCTTCCTTTTATTGCCTCATGAAAATAAACTTAAAGCAATAATCCCCTTTATTCACAGACCTCTGTTTTCATAGACTTCAGTAAGTTTTAGAAAATGTTGACTGCAGTTCCTGATTATGTTATTCTTTGAGACTTCATTGAGTCATCAAGAAAATACATTCATCGGCAGATAAACCCCTAAATAAAAAAAGATTAACATCAGCAGCAGCTTCTTCTAGAGTCTCTTTTTTGAAAGGCATTCCTGCAGGATCGCTGTATCTGAGTCACTATGAAAGGAAAAGAAAATCTTGTCTCACTTAGTGTTGTAGTACATGAATCGGTCTTGGTCTCAAGACCACTTTTTGAAGGTCTCGAAATCAAAAGCATTTTGACTCGGTCTTGTCTCGGTCTCAAACTGGGCATACTCCAAGAGCGCCACTGATAGGCCCTTTTTCGACATCAGGTTGTTGTTGTTTTTACAAGATGACTGAGCACCTGTGTTGTTTCTGCTCTGCTGCAGGTTGAAGAATCTCCCGTACAGCTTCACTAAACTGAACCAGATGACTGCGATGTGGCTGTCTGAAAATCAGGTAAGATCACATGTGTCATGTATGAGTCACGAGTACACGTGTTTGAGAAAATGTGCCGCTGAGTTCAGAGTCGTCAGATGCTGATTTGTTTTCGATAGAGACACTGTTTTGACAGATTGGGTACACCACAGCATTCAGCGGTAAATCAATCCAATCCAGACTTTCAGGGAAACGCATTCAAAATGCAGCGAAACCACTTCCAGGACATCTGATCGAAACACGGTTCTGACTTCAGTGATACCCTAAACTCTACATTTTTAACGTGTGGAAGGATCCGTTCAAGGTTACAACATGTAATCCTGACCGTTAGTTCATGTTCCAGACAACTTTATGGTAATCCAGACGAGCTCAGAAGAATCCCTGACTGGCAGGGATCATCATCTTAGACAAAGCAACAAAAGGAACAATGCACATTTCTTATTTTGGCTTTAATAATGTTGAACTAAAAAAAAAAAAAAGAGCGAGTAAGAGCAGTGATGGTTGAGCATCCCGGAGACGGTGAGTGAAGAGAGGGAGCTGCGATAAAGAGCACAATATGAGATGCTCCCTTAAGCAGGGAGTTTTTGACTGTTAAACGATGGCCCCCAGGTCTTAATTTAGGATCCTGGTCTTGGTTGTAAAAAAGAGGGGGGCTCAAGGAGTTCTCCAAAAGTCCCCAATCCCTGGGGATGATTCCTGTGGTGGAAATGGAGCTATAATCAGATGCACAAGGTGTACCCTCTTGTGTCTGAGCAGACGAACAAACAGCAGAGGACAGAGGCAGAGATTTCACCTGGTCACCATGTGTTACTGTGTGTATTACCTGACCTGCAAACTTTTAGCCAGGGGAGTACACACCTATACACACTGATGATATGATATGATACAGTAGAATATACTTTTCAGCATTCACATTCAGCTAACTATAATTGGTATGATTTGATGCCATAGACCAGGACATGACGCAATACAGTATAATACAATTAACCTGCTGAAATGGTGATGCTAATACATGCTATGCTACTCTCAAGTGAGCAGAAAGCCTCATCATGGTAAACACTGATACTCGCTCTGTCATGAGGAGGAGGCGGGGCTCTTTGAGCTTGCAGCACAAGCTGTCTTTGCTCAAAGTCAGAGTGCAAAAAAGTAGCTCAATTTATGCTCTTTTCTTGGCACATTACTTGTATTTATGCACCACCGTGGCTGGTAGGTTGAGCAAATTCACCCGTCACTGCAAAAAAAACAAAAAAAAACACCTGTATTTGGCAGGAAACGGGTTCTTATTTCCAACGATAAATACAATATGATAGACTTCGTTCCTCCCTTTGGGGAAATTTGTGCTGCACACATTTAGATGCATTCTTTATTGTATGATATGATCATTTTTTAATACTTTTTATTTGATAGTTTTGAAGAAAAACAAGAAACTGTCAGAATGAGCACATATACATTTGTATATGGTTTGTATAGAAGATCTACATATAAGTGCATCATCTATACAGGCATGGATAAATACTTCTGTTAGCTCATTCTACGACAGAAAATAAAGTGTATGATACGATCAGATACAAGGCGATGCAGTAAGATGTGACTTGATGTGATACGATACACTTAGTTGGCCCCTTGGGGTAATTTTTTTCCTGGACTCACATTAAGCTGCCTACACAGTCGCACCAATGAAAAAGAAAAACTATGAAAGCGCATACCAACAGTCAGAAATGTAAACTATGTAAAGATAGATCTTCTTGCTGTGGTGTCCATAAAATTTAATTTCGACCAGTAGTGACTCCAAGTCAAAGCCTTTATTATTGTGACGTCCTCCGCAGCAGCAGAGAGATGAACGTTACCCGGCGAGTTTGTGGTGCTTGAAATTTGGACTTTGCCTCGGCGACTGTGCATGTGGCCCCCGAGAGATAAGCCTATCAGAGGGAGAAACGTTGGATGGAGTGCGCTCAGGCTCAGGAAGTGGTTCAGAGCCCTTTTTTTTTTTTTTGTCATAGATGCGTACAAGAAAAGGAGCTCTTGAAGTATTCATACCAAGCAGTGTAGTCAAAGTTTTAATGCGTTAAAGAGCAAAGTAAAGCCGGAGCACGGCGGGCACACACAGCAGGACTCTGCAGTGTGCTGTTTGCTCATTCAGGCTTATAAATATTTCCAAATTACAGTCTGTTGACTCTCAAAATCAATTATTCATGGCTCTTTTTTCTCCCCCTCCTCATCTCGGGCAGTCTATTGTGAGTCTCTGCTCAAATGCCTTCACAAATTTTTGCTGGAATAGATTTGAGTTCGCTGCAGGAAAGCCGTCTCCCCCTCTCCTGGCCTCACATCGGCTGCCTTTTGAAATACAGAATATCATCTCCACATCTCATCAGTATCCCATCTACTGCTTATTAACCGTAGCCCAACAACAACAGGATTTGTTTTAGCCAATGCCGATCTGATTGCTCAAAAACTCAAATGTTTTCGGTATGGTTTAAGGAAGTTGGCTGCAGTTTTATAAATAATAGCCTGAAGACTAAAGAACTCTTAAAGGTTTTGAAGCTAGTTTTTCTGCATCCCTGTTGTAACCTTTCTTGTCTTTAATTGGCAGATATTTACCCAGACACTGATGTATTATCACTGTCTTTACTGAGCAGGCTTTATCCATATAAGAAGATGCTTAATGGTCTTTACTGCATGTCATCCCCTCACTCTCTCCTCACAGAGTTTCCTGTCCCGCTTCAGCTGTCTTATCTATTAAAGGCAAAAACAGTCCTAAGAAAATAACTTTAAAAAAAAGAAGATTTGTGAGTAACAAGAAGCCCAAAGTTTCGACGGAGCACGCTGCAAGCATGTATCAAGCTGAACTGAATAGATCGACACCCTGACAGGAAGTCAGTCAAGGAAACGCACAGAACGTCCGCTCAATTTCAAAATAAAACACAATATGCAGACTCGCGTCGTATAGTCCATCACTTTATCAAAATTAGGTCAAAACAGGCAGCGAATGAACGACAAATCATCCTAAGAAAGACAAAGCAACGTGCTATTGTAGTTCTCCCTGTGATTGTGTAGTTCTCCTGTGATCGTGTAGTTCTTCCTGTGATCTTGTAGTTCTCCTGAGATCTTGTAGTTCTCCTGTGATCTTGTAGTTCTCCTGTGATCGTGTAGTTCTTCCTGTGATCTTGTAGTTCTCCTGAGATCTTGTTGTTCTTCTGTGATCTTGTAGTTCTCCTGAGATCTTGTAGTTCTCCTGTGATCTTGTAGTTCTTCCTGTGATCTTGTAGTTCTTCCTGTGATCTTGTAGTTCTCCTGTGATCTTGTAGTTCTCCTGTGATCTTGTAGTTCTCCTGTGATCTTGTAGTTCTCCTGTGATCTTGTAGTTCTCCTGTGATTTTGTAGTTCTCCTGTGATCTTGTAGTTCTTCTGTGATGTGTGTACAGCTGCAGGGCTCATGCCGTCCGACGGAGCAAAACCATGACGCAGTAACTTGCCAACAACCATTTATCAGCAACGTTTTGGTACCTGACCTTCATCAAGCAAAACAAAAAAGGGGACTCATAAATGTTTGTTTGCAAGTCAGACAGTTTGCAAACTCCGACACACCTGTTCGCTCTCTCTCTCTCTCTCCTTGGGTTGAAATATGACTGAACTGTTTAAATCATGGGTTGTATCCGACATCTTGACAACCTTTTGGTTTGTGTTGTCTCAGTATTTATGTGATAAAGATGCTCCGTGTATATAAATAAGTTTGGCTCTCTCATGATAAGGAGTGTTGTGTTACAGGCCACAAATAAAACCCAGAAGGAAAACCGTCAAAGAGAAGCTCGTGGGTGGTTTGAGGGAAGAATAAAAAAAAAAAAGTTAGCTGGTGAAGCTCAGGAGGAAAGTTGTCTGAAAAGAACTGTGGGAAATCAGGGTGACCACATTCGTTCTGTCAAAGCACGGCCGATTTGCAAAAGACTGAACACTCACAAACCTACTTTCTGTCTCTCACAGTCGAAGCCCCTGATCCCGCTCCAGAAAGAGGAGGATCCAGAGACGCACAAAACCGTGCTGACTAACTACATGTTCCCCCAGCAAACCAGGACCGAGGACTGTGAGTACCCTGCATTCAACCAGACTTTCATTTCTCTTTCTCTTAGCGGTTAATCTGGCAGAGCGTCGAGCTGCTAGTGTTTCTGACCTGTTTTCTCCAACCGGTTCCTCCAAGCAGGGCTGCTCGTTAACCAGCCGGTGGCTCAACGCTGTCACTGCAAATGTACTTGACAAACACGGCTACATCTCAAAGAATTAGAGTCTTGTGGAAAAGTTGATTTTTTTTTTTCTTCTTCTGAGTTTAAATCAAAAAGTGAAACTGTCAGGCTGTATCCGACACCACGTACTACATAGTGTCTACCACATCCTCAAAATATGTCTACTGCTTACTAGTGCTGTTTTCGAGTCCACACTAACCGAGACCAGACCCAGACATTTAGGGATCAAGATCGAGTCAAGACCAAGGCAGGGCGAGACCGAGACAAGACCATAAATATCACTGAAAAATCCTCATCTTTTGGGGAGGGGGCGTGTCCCTCACTTAGGCCGTAACCAGGGGATAAAAATCTAATTATGAATGAATTAAAGTTATTCCTCTTTTTTAGAAAGGGTTGTTTTCCTTCTGATCACAGTAATGACATGGAAAAATAGCCGATCAGTGGTGGTCTTGATTTTACATTTTGAGTAAGACTGAGTAAAAATGCTTTCGATTCCAAGACGAGACCAAGACCTTCAAAAAGTGACTGATTTTGAGAACTACAACAACTGCATACTAACCCCAACCATTAGCATGCCGTTAGCAACATATTACAAGTCCAAGCTCTCACTGGAAGAGCTAACACCAAGCTAGCGGGGCCGTCGGCTGTGGCTAAGTTGGTTGAGTCGGTCGTCTCTCAACCTAAATGTTGCCTCTTTGTGCGTCTTCGTAGCATAACATTGAGTAAAGTCTTTTACCTGCTCTTTTTGTAAAGTGCCGCTTGATAACATTTGTTATGATTTGGTGCTATACAAAGATTGATTGAGTGATCAACCTGTGAAGGTCGGGAGTTTGATCCCCAGCTCCTCCAGCCACATATCTGATGTGTCCTTGGGCAAGACACTTATATATGCGATTTTTTTTGATCCAGCAGATGTCGCCCTTGAGCACCAGCATGAAACCAAAACAACTCGCGCTGCATTGTTGTGTTAGCATGCTAATGCTAGTGATCTTTATCATGCTGGTATCTTCACACTGCATGTAAATTTACCTGAAATGAGCGTGATCTAGAAACACAGTTAAGCAGTGAGTACAGTATGTTATTCTTCTTTTCTCTAGTCCCTCAATTAAACAACTTTTATACACGAGGGGAGGAGTCAGCCGGCCGTCCTGGCGATGTAAATAAACTGAAGATAGGACTCTGAAAACATCACAGACAGTGGGACTCGGGTGTTACACCCATTGTAGACAGTCATGACTCACAGAGTTATTTTCAGAGGAGATACTTGATTTCTATTTAAATGTGAAAAATCACATACTAAGTCTTTAACCCCAAGTTACTCCTGCTGCTTCATCAGTGTGTGTGAATGTGTATGAATGGGATTAGCTAATAATGATGAATAACAACCTCTACCATCAGGCTTGAAAGAAATTGAACTTCTCCACATTATTCTAATGTTTCTGAGATGCACCTTGTATAAGAACGCTCAATGAAACAGTAGAGGGACTACCGTCTTTATCTAAGAAGTTTTAACCTTGCAGGTAACTTGCAAGGATTCCTGAATTTATATTTCATGAGTGATCTTGTTACCTGAAACGTGAGCTCGACCCTTCTTGTCGAGCATCTGTTTGTCAGGTTTGGATTCCTATTCCACCTGACACTCACGCTGACCCCACAGCACCTGAGCTCTAAAGTGATTAGATGTTCGACATCGACATAGTGGGAATTGTAGAATTTTGTATAGCTTGTGCTAAACTCCTTGATGGGAATGCGAGAGGAGAGGGGTTGGAGGTGTGTCTCTGGAGGAGGTGTGTCTCTGGAGGAGAACGGAGGCTTCAGTATGGAGTTTTTGATTTATGCCATTTTCCAAAGTTACTTTTCCAAAACAGTTTTTTTTTTATCTGAGAACCAGTCACGACCCGACAGCAATGACTGTGTTTTACAACTTGTTGATAGTGAGGCCACACACCAGGTGACTCATACTATCCAGTGTGAATCTCTCTCTCTCTCTCTCTCTCTCTCTCTCTCTCTCTCTCTCTCTCTCTCTCTCTCTCTCTCTCTCTCTCTCCCTCTCTTTCCCCCTCTCTCTCTTTCTCCATCTCTCCCTCCCTCCCTCCCACCCTCTCTCTCTCTCTCTCTCTCTCTCTCTCTCTCTCTCTCTCTCTCTCTCTCTCTCTCTCTTCCTCTCTCTCTCTCTCTTCCTCTCTTTCTCCCTCTCTCTCTTCCTCTCTTTCTCCCTCCCTCTCTCTCTACCTCTCTCTCTCTCTCTCTTTCTTTCTCTCTCTCTCTCTCTCTCTCTCTTTCTCTCTCTCTCTCTCTCTCTCTCTCTCTCTCCTCTCTCTCTCTCTCTCTCTCTCTCTCCCTGATGTCGTCTTGAAATTAACAATAACGTCTGCTTTATTTTCCTGGCTAGCACCTTCCTATCAAGTATCAGTGAGGAAGTCACACCTGTTTTGTTTTCTCGTCGTGTATCTAAGTGAAGGTTTTAAGAGCTTTTAACACAGGAAACCACATTGCCTCGTTCACACCTTCACAGCCTCCATCAGCTTCTTAAAAGCACAGCTGATATTTGTGGATGTGAGTCAGTATTCGTTTTTTTTCGATCTGCAATAATCGTCACAAATCGACACTTCCTGGATGTCATTTTCAAAACACTCTTTGCCTCTTTTCCTCTCCTCGTGGCATCAAAAAAAATGAGGGTGACTTAGTCGTGATAACTTATTTAAGCATGTTATGTGATGATTTTTCTCATCCTTTCTCCTCTTATATCACGTTTTCTGAATACTCTGTGGTATGAGGTTCAGGCGATCACAGCTTTTGTATTTAATCCAGTATTGTTCCAGCTTTTGTTTAAGGGCTTAACACCTGAATTTCAAGTTCCTTCACAGCTCCCTCCATTGGTTTGAACGACTCTCGTGTTGTCTGTGCGCTACCATGTGGTCAAAGTGAGACAGTGCATGAAGGATGCACAGTGGGAACGAAGGTCAAATCTTTAATTAAAAACGAACAAACGATTAACACCAGCTGCAGTTTACTTAGAGTGCACGTTGCTCAGAGAGCCTCTGTTCACATTTTCAGGTCAGTTAAGGATCAAAAAACAGAAAAGAGACAATATGACGCATAAACAAACGCTGTTTCACTAAAGCCCACACGCTGTTACCTGGCTGAGGTAGCTACTTTACAATGAGGGTTGTTGCATCATTATTGACTTGATATGACTCCAGTCAAATCAAAAAATATCAGCACCTGTTTTTTGGGCTTTTTTGCCTTTATTGGAGAGACATTACAGCGGTTGGGTCAGAAATCATGGAGAAGAGAGATAGGGGAATGACGTGGGAAAAGAGCCACCAGCTGGATTTAAATCTGGGCCTCCCGCTTCCATTACAACAGCCTCTGTTTCAAATTAAAGAGTCCATATTCTGCCCTTTTTGGGGTTCGTATATTTAATCTATGTTCCTACTTTTATACGTTCACAATAGCTAAAGTCTGAAAAAAGTGTCTGTTTTCATGAACTGCTCCTCCTTGCTCCCTCTCTGCTCTGAGTCTGTCAGCTACACTCTGTTGAGCCCACACTGTTAGACCCCACGTGGTCCAAGTCTGCTCTGATTGGTCTGCCGATCCGCTCTGTTGTTATTGGTCAGTTGCTCAGCACTGAGCTGCTGGGCTTGCCACAACGAGCCAATGGACTTAGATCAGTGATGTCACACTGACAATGACATCGGACTGACACATTTTTTTCGAAGGGGGCTGGAACCGAGCGTTACATGCAGCTAATGCTACAGCTAACAGGAGGACGTAGGAGAAGCCTAGAAGCCTGCCTAAACATGCACAGAACACTTGGAAAACACACTAAAGGGCATATAAAACCAGAAAAAGCAGAATATGGGACCTTTAAATAAATGACTGAAGCTCTGAGGTTTTGTTTTTAAAGCTTTGACTACTTTGGACCATCATGGTATCTTTTTTTAAAACGTGATTTCAAAAAGTATCGCTGCATCTCCTAATTTTGTCGACCTTATTCCAAACCAATGAAATCAGGAGAGATTTCTAATTCTTTTTTTAACTGAAGGTATCTTTCTCGTCTCTGCTTTCGTTTTCAGACATCCCCAACTCCGACTCTGAGAGCTTCAACCCGGCTCTGTGGGAGGAGCAGCGCAAACACAGAGCTCAGGTGGCCTTTGAGTGTGACGAGGACAAGGACGAGAGGGAAACACCCCCGAGGGTTTGTGTCAAACTGTTTGTTCAAATAATTAAGACTGCAGATACCAACCATCACTGATGGGGCAGATTTCCTGTAACAGCCTCTAATGTGTGAGGAGTGTGACGATACTACACTGAATGCACTTTATTCTCAAATTTCCAACGCAGACAGTTCTCCTCCTCTTGTCCCGCTTGTGTCTAAACTGTAACCAAAGGATTATTTAAATTGTAAATTTTGGGGTATTTGATCTCTGCCAGGAGGGGAACCTGAAGCGCTATCCTACACCATACCCGGACGAGCTGAAGAACATGGTGAAGACGGCCCAGTCTGTAGCTCACAGGCTGAAGGAGGATGAGTCCGGCGATGAGTCGGGGAAAGACGCCAGACCGGTCGAGAGGAACCACATCGGAGTGCAAGACGTGGGAGTAAAGGTCAGCTTCATGAAATATCACAGATATCGCTTTTACTTTCAGTTATGGCTGCTTTGTTTTCCCCTGCTTCGGTTCCTCTTTCACAGTCCACATGTACTGACCATCTGTATTATTATTTTTTTGCACAGGTGATAGAGGCACCGTGTCCCAACGGCACGGCATCAGAAATGGACGCACAACTATCCACAAACACAAACGTCCCAAAATCATCAACACTGGATTCAAGAGACACATCAGAGTCTTACAGCTCCCAGCGAGCCCCGCTCAAATCTTCAGAGGGCTCCATGATGAACCATGAAGACACACTCGAGGTATTCTATCATTTAACACTCGTTTATTCTTTTTTTTTTTTTTTCTTAAAGCACCCTGAACAGCTTTACCCTTAAAACTTGTCTTTGTCCTTCAGGATTCTGAGGAGCTGTCTGATGAAGAGGAGGAGATGAAAATGGGAGAGATGAGACCCCCTCTCATCGAGATCTCCATCAACCAGCCTAAAATAGTGACTTTAAGTAAGGACAAAAAAGGTAAACGTTTAGTTTGAGACATTTCAGCCCTCTTTCAGCCGGTGGCTTCGGCTGTTTCTCAGTTCACTTCTCTCTCCCTGATTTGGCTCCTCTCTCTGAGCCATCTTTATCCCCCTGAAGTGGACTCCTTCACAGAGCAGAGCAGCTTCAAACTTTACACCCTGTTGACAAACTGTCCTCCATCAGTCCGCCAAAAAGCTGCAGGGTCACCTGTTGAAGGGGCTCAATCCACCTAGCATTACCCCCTTAGACCTCTCCACTGCAGGTTTTAAAAGACCTCCTCCTGGCAGTCTGTAGCTCCTGTTCTAGGGGAAAGCCAAAGTTGTTCCCAAGCTTCAAGTCCTGGTAATTAAATGCCTTTTAAGGAATCAATCTGTCCATCAGGACATCATCCAAACCGAGGCACTTTTCACACATGCACTCCCTGAAAATGTGCAAAAAATATCACGACATTCTCCTCTTGACATCTTGCTGAGTTGGACTTTAACACGTCCCTCACAGCAGGAGATGTTCCCTGTCAGATGGGAGGTCAGCGGGCAAGACATGATGTAAAAAAGGACGCTGCAGAAGTAGCAATATTTTGTTTACAACATATTCAAGATGGCAAAACAGAGTCTGATGCTATATTTTACTTTATGACAACTCTACTTGTAATTGGACGTCCTGACAGTGTAAGAAAAGAGTGAAAACGAACTGAGTGGCGAGCAGAAGAGAGAATTAATCAACTTATTTATGTGCATATAGTTTGCAGCAGTCCCAGGATATGAACGTCATCAACCAATTTTACTGAATTCCTTTCTGCTGCTCATAGACATCTGCTTACCCAGACTTTGACTTTGAGGGCTTCCAAGAAAAATCCCAGAGAAATTGGGGGGGGAAATTCAGCTATTTCTGTTCACACATGCGGCTCACATTTTATCAGGAGTTTTGTGCATGTGTGCAAAGGTTTCTTAGCGAGTCCAGGTGGAACAAGCAGCTGACATTTCTGACTAAAGAAATACTTGGAACAGTTTTTCCGATCAGCTTTGTCAGAGACAGACTCCTAAAATATGAACTTTTATAGGAATGCCAAAATGAGTGGGACTTTGAGAGGGAAAGTTGAAGTTGACAAGTGATGTGAAGTAGATAAAGTACACTTACAGTGATATATCTGATTCACAGATGATGCGGACTCTCTGCTGGATGAGACAGTGGCCAACAGCAACCAGAACAACAGCAACTGTTCATCACCATCACGCATGTCTGACTCAGTGTCGCTGACCACAGACAGCAGTCAGGACAACTCTCTGTGCACACCCGAGAGAGAGGCTAAGATGCCCTTCCTGCCAAAAACACGGTCAGTACCATTCTTTAACTAGTTTGAGATAGAGTGGAGTCTTCATTCAAAATCTTATGAACCAGTTTGTTGTGTTTGTTTTTAGTCAAGAAGATGAGAATATGAACCAGCCGCCTAAAGACACCACCCCTCTCCTGCACAACGGCAACGGCTCTGAAACGTCCCTTCAGGCCCTTTTAAAAACCCAGCAGACGCCGCCAGAAAAAATGGGCGACTACGACCTCTCGATGGAAGCCAGACTGGCGTTCATCGAGAAGGGAATCAACAATGGCATGGGAGAAACCTACAGCAAGTGGGACCAGATCAACATGAACGTGTCCAAGCTGCCAACAGACAACATGGTGCAGCTGGACGCGGCGGACAAAACCAAGAACGGCGCGCTGACAAAAGAGGACTTTGAGAGTAAGCGGGGTTTCAGCAATGAGCATTTTCTGAATGGAAACCAGCAGGTGAGCGACTGCATCAACAGCCAAGGGATGCGAGTGGAGACGTCTGCCGGGCATGTGGCCTCGACAGGCATGACAGCCAGCAGTGACATGTCTCTATCTCGCAGCACAGAGGAGCTGTCTCCAGAGAAAAGATGCTTTCCCCCGCAGGTGATGAAGTCTCACAGCGTTAGCAACATAGAATCGGGAGGGTTAAAGATCTACTCCTTTGACGGGGAGGGTGACTCCTATGACGCGGCAGGGAGGATGGCAGGAGTCGGGCCGGGACCGGGAGCGCAGGGCCAAAGCATCGTCAGGAGCAAGTCAGCGAGTCAGTTGCTAAACGACCAGTCTCTGCAGATCTACCCCGGCTCCTCTGCGTCCTCCTCAGACCTGCTTTCGTCCTCTATGCCCCCTGCCAGCACCAGCAGATACCCGGTGTCCTCCAGCATGGCTATGGGCATCCCTCCCCCGCAGTACAACATCCAGTACACAAGCAGTGCCGCGCCTAAAGACGGCCTCTGGGCTCAGAGGACGGCCATGCCCCCTGAGCACCAAGGCTACCACCCTCCTCCTCCTCCACCTCACTCTCTAGCCAACACCAACTACTCAAACCGCAATCAGGCACCTCCATACCCTCTGCCGCCCCAGCAGAGGGGGCCTCCAATGGGTCCCAAACCGCCTGGTGACATGTGGGCTATGGAGAGGCTTCATTCTAGCGGAGGACAGGTCAGAAGCAGCACGCTGCAGAGGCAAAGCAGCACCGCCTCCACGGCTTCTATGGGCGACCCGAGGCGCATGCAGTTGCCCGAAGGGGAATACATGACGTACAGGGACATTCACACCCTCGCCAGGGGGCCGCTAGCAATGAGCACGGCCATGCAGAGGCCGCTCTCGGCCCGCACCTACAGCATCGACGTACCCGGAGCTTCCAGGCCCGTGAGTGCCAGGCCACAGCCCCACGAGCTTCCGGAGAGGACCATGTCCGTCAGCGACTTCAACTACCAGCAGGGCAGCCCCAGCAAGAGGCCCAACGCCAGGGTGAAGTCCGAGCACTCGCTGCTGGACGGGCCGGGGGGAGCGGGAGCAGGACGGGTGCCGGCAGACTGGAGAGACCAGGTGATGCGGCACATTGAGGCCAAGAAAATGGAGAAGGTAAAAAAGTGAATTAAAAACTTAAATATCAAGTTTCGCAAAGTGTACTAACCCCTTCTGAACGCCAACGCATGTTTGTCTGTAAATGCTGTAAACCTCTTTTGTTTTGTCTTTTGTGTCAACACTCATTTGGCGGATTTGCATGACATTATGGTTCGGTGCTGGTTGTTTCATGTCGTCCCTCTGTTCAGAACGCGCTGTCTCGTTCCTATAATTCCAATAACTCTCCGCTGAGCTGGTCTCACCACGGCAGCTGTAGGGAAATGCATGCCAGCCAAGGCTCTCTCTTGTTTAGTACCAGGGACGGACAGCCCTACGGAGCTCTGGGCTTCTGTGTGAGTACTGAGTGAACCTGATGTTAGCTCCTGCTGCTCATACTAAGCCTGGGCTTCCTGTTCCTGCTAGTTTCACTCCCTGTAGAAGATTTTTAAAACAAATGTTTCCTCCTCTCCTCCTGTGTTGAGAAGTGACTCTCCCAGAAGCCATCTTTCACTTGTCCTTGTAAGGGCAAATGAAAGTATGTCTGATTTCCTCCCAACTGCAAACCTTTGTATAGTATGTGTGATGACTTATTAGTGGTAAGTGTTGGATTTAACAGACGTTTTAGCATAGCTCCTCTTAACGTAATGCAGAATGGCTTTTGATTGTTTTGTACCATCATCCAGTTGGTTTTTATGGCTTTCCTCCCTCGATTAATGAAAGAAGAAGAGAAATCTTGACTTTAACAAATACACTGTCATCGTCATTTAGGTCGATACAGGTTGAACAGCTGAGCCAAATTTCTCTTCTCACAGAACAGGAAGCAGCAAAATGACATAAAAACAATAAGATTGCAAGGTTGCAGGATGAAATGTAATGCGAGCACTGTGAGCCTGTAGCCTAGTGGTTAAATATGCACTGCCCCATGTACGGAGGCTGTCGACCTCCAGGCTCGAATCCGACCTGTGGCTCCTTTTCCGGCATGTCATTCTACTTTGTCGTCAGGAAAGCCTACATGCATGGTACAAAACAGCCCCTTTTTAAAAAACCCTCCAGCTTCCTTAAAATCATGATCATGATCTCAGTGTGCAGAAACTAATCCTGTGATTGTAATGCATCTTTGCAAACCCTCGTTGTTTTCTCCCCCCTCCCCTCTTCACTGCACTTTTAACTCTGCTCAATCATCTTCACTTCAGTTTTTCACCCCCTCATAACTTCTCACTTTTTATGTGGAGTTGAAAACTTGTGTTTGCCAACGGTAAGTGGGAAAAGTGTGCGTCTCAGTGAGTTAGAAAAGTGTGTGTTAGACTCTTTAGTCTCCCCAAAACCCAATGTAACCTTTAAGATCAACTTGACCTCCCGGCTGTTATCAAGAATAACATGCTGCTTAGCGTCTGAATAGAAAGTAGGCAGAGTTTAATCAGAGTTTTTCATCATTTTAATCAGATGTCACCCTTCCCTCCCATCCCATCCTGTGCAACACATCACTGCCCCTAATGCCATTACCAGACATGAGAAATGTTCATGTCAGTGTCTTAATTGTCCGTCCAGTCTGATATGTCTCGTGTAAGTGAGTTTTAGTGAGGTGAAGTAAGGACACGGTGCTAATAATCATAACTTTCTCTCCTCTCAGGATGATGTGTTTGTTCCCCAAGGGCAGCAGAGTTACACCATGGACCCCCACAGAAAAGTAGGTGGATATGAACCCGGGATGTCATGAACTTATGTATGATACTCAATGTGGTTTATGTGAATTTGTAAACGTGTGGACCACCAACCTGCCAAGAGACCTAATGGGTATGTGTATGCCTGTCTGTGTATACCATATGGCATATTTACACGTTTATGTTCATTAATGTACGCTGAGGGAAGCCAGTTTTAAGACCGTTTTGGACGCCCCTCGGTTTGCCAGATATGAGAGCAGTTATCATGGAGCAGTTATGGGGGCGGCAGTAGCTCAGTCTGTAGGGACTTGGGTTGGGAATTGGAGGGTCACCGGTTCAAGTCCCAGCACGGACCAAGTCCAGAAATTGGTCTGGTAGCTGGAGAGGTGCCAGTCCACCTCTTGAGCACTGCCGAGGTGCCCCTGAGCAAGGCACCTAAACCCCACCAGCTCAGGAGTGAGCCCCCTCACCCTGAGACCCCTCCATTAGTGCATGTCCATAGGATCCTGTTTGTGCAGATGTGTGTATTTCGGCCTATGTTTGTGTAGCATGTTAACTAGACAGAGTGTAAAAACGAATTTCCCCTCACAGGATCAATAAAGTAGAAATTATAATTATCAGCAGTGATGGAAGCGGTCAAGAGAAGTGGTTCAGATAGAAGTGATTGTACCCGACCTAAAAAGCCTCTGCATGTTTCTAATAAGCTCCACGAGCAGAAACGTGCTCAAACTAGGATCAATATTGGAGATGCTTTTGAAAAATGGAGAGAGGTTAGAACACAGAAAGGTTTACAGACCCATGCAGAGCTGGATAAACACTGAAGCTTCAGAGTCCACCACATGGTGACCTGAGTGAGCATGGACTCTAGAGGGGAGGAGGGGGGAGAGACAGCTCTCTACAATGTTTAGAATTCAGACTGCAGTACCCATTTTAAACACTAGGTGTCAGAGTTACATACTGCTCCTTTAATACAAACACACCTGAGTATTAAATGTTGTGCGTTTCTAAATCACATTTTGACTTCTCTCTGATTCAGCCAAGCTTTGAAGAGGTTAACATGTCTGTGTTTTTGTCTCTCAGGTGCCTTTGATGAATGGTCAGATGGGCCCCTCCGCTCGTCCTCAGATGAGCCAGGCTACCATGGCTCGCCACCCTTCCAGAGAGCAGCTCATTGATTATCTGATGCTCAAAGTTTCCCATCAGCCCCAGGGGCCTCCTCGCGTCCAGCATGACACAATGCAGCAAGAGGTGAACAATGGATGTGTGAACTTAAATAAGAGTGGGATGTGCTGTACGGAGCTGGGCTAACAAATAACCAGCCTTAAAGCAACATGATGTGACTTTTACAACTTAAAACGGTAGATTCATAGTTGACCTACAACGTTCAGCGAGGGTATTAGTGTCTACCCCATCACCACAGATCTCTAACATGTGTCTCTAGTCCGTCTACAAACCCCCCAATGATGAGAAAAGTCCATCCTCTCTCCGTCTTTAGCCTGCTCCAATTTTCAGAAAATGTGTGCTCAAACAGGCCGTTTGGAGATTTTCCCTTCATGACATCACAAAGGGCAGTAGCCCCTCCCCCAAGTGGGTGACACTCCCACAGCTTGGTGTTTGTTCTGCCCTCTGAGTCTGCCTTCTCACTATAAACAATAGGACATGGAGCGAGAAAGCACCGAGTACACCAAAGCCCTTCCAGAGAGGGGGCGTGGTCAGACACAGCTCATTTACATATTTAAAGGTACAGACACAGAAACAGCCTGTTCTGAGCAGGGCTGAAATAGAGGGGTTTATAGACATGATCAAATACAGGATCAGAGTGGATTCAGAACAAGAAACTTCACACACATGTTTTGAGGAGCTCTGAGACTTATTTACACTGAAGAGGAGGAGGAGGATATGTCACCTTTAATGTTTGTATGAATTCAGATCCCTTACCTTCTGCTATGACTCGTTTCTCGTGACTCATTTGAAATATGTGAGCATGGTGTAATAAACGCTGCATTTCGGTGAGTAAACGATACTAATGAAAGTGTGTGGGTGTGTTTCAGATCCGTGTGAAATTGGAGAAGAATCCAGAGCTGGGTTTCAGTATATCAGGAGGAGTGGGAGGCCGGGGAAACCCCTTTCGTCCAGACGACTATGTAAATTCAAACCTAATCTTCTGATACATCCATAATGAAGCTTCAGTGCCTCATATTCTAATATTTCAGCTTTTAATATGTGTAAGTAATTCAATATCTTTGTTTTATTTTTTCAGGGTATTTTTGTGACAAGGGTTCAACCTGAGGGACCTGCATCAAAGATTCTTCAACCTGGAGATAAAATCCTTCAGGTACGCTCCTGTCTGACGGCTAAATTCCACCAGATGTGTGTTTGCTGCGTCTCTGCTCCCCTAAAGCAGCACAGCTGATAGGTTTTTACTTTAGTTGATGTGTGTGCGTCCACTGGCTCCTTCATGCTGCGTCTCAGCTCAGTCAGTCCTGAGTCCTCTGCAGCAGATCCACAGGGCCTCTATTTGTGCAGAACACCGGAGCACGGCACATCGATTCACCACAGAAAAGATCGAGCAGGACAGGAAGTCAGGCACTGAAACAACATAACACACTCAAGTTTTGACGGTTTTGTTGTTGTGTTTATAACACATACATCGTATTATCTCGGGCTGTCGTCCATGAATCTGTAATTACCGCATGGACTCCTGGGTCTCGGGACTCCAGCTGTCCAATGGGGTTGCTCCGTGCTGAGCTCTGAGAATGCAGCCTGCGGGTTGTTGACGGATGAGGGAGCTGTAAAGGAGCGGAGCGGACACACAATGCACACTTATATCTGGTGGAAGTTCTGGGTGAAGAGAGCCTGAGAATATGATTCTGTGATTTGTTAAAGGTTTGTTGCAGTTTTCTGCATGCAAACAAATTAATAATCTCTCCCTCTCTCTCTCTCTCTCTCTCTCCTCCCTCTCTCTCTCTCTCTCTCCCTCTCTCTCTCTCTCTCTCTCCCTCTCTATCTCGCTCCCTCTCTATCTCCCTCTCTCCCCCTCTCTCTCCTCCCTCTCTCTTTCTCTGTCTCCCTCTCTTTCTCCGTCTCTCTCTCTCTCAGGCGAATGGATACAGCTTTGTGAATATCGATCACGGGAACGCGGTGTCCCTCCTGAAGACGTTTGCGAACACTGTGGATTTGACTATCATGAGAGAAATGCAAGCGTAGACTTGAAACTGACTTCTGAAGTCGAGGGGGCGGGGACAACGAGAAGAGAGATGATGTTGACTCTCATATTTTTTATACACAGAGGAGACTGGTCTGTCGATTACCTGTAAGGACTATTTATAGGAGGGATCTTTATAGCCTTGATTGAACGGGGAAAACCACTGAATGTAGTGGGATCGAAGCGAGACGGCGACGGCGGCAAAACCTCTGCAAGTACGAGTCCTCAAAAGGCCATCACTGTGGTATCTATATTTTTATACAGAAGAAGCTGAAGATATGACCTGAAGCAAATAATTACTGTGGTCTCTGTACAGATCATCTTTTTTTTTTTTTTAAGTCCAAATCACATAAGTCCTTTATCATGAATTAGGTTTTTTATTTCTGCAGATCCTGAGTTGACCACTAGGGGGCAGGGCTCCCTCTGTTCTGTCATACAATTTGCCTTTTATTTTTTTTAATTTAAGATGTTGAAACCGTTTTCTGGTCTGCTACGCGATCATAATGGGAGGACGATGTTACGTGATTTTTCCTGTGGAGACGAATGTCGACGGAGGAGCGGTTTGTTTTTTTTTCTGTTGGAGGAGAGATTATTTTGTTTTCTCTTTTTGCAAAATCAGAAAGCTGAGAAGAGGAAACCATCCACACACCCCCCCCTCCCCCCTCACTGCTGATCACCCCTCCAGAGTGCACAGACACTTCTGTCCTCACAGCATCCGCTCAGCATATCACCTCACCGGACCGCTCGCTGCGCCGCGTCTGGACGCAGAAGAAGAAATCCTCTCGCCGCCTCTCGGACGTCGGGGAGAAACGCAGTCAGAGCGTGATCGTCGGGGGAAATCCTTACAGGAAGAGGGGTCGGCTGTTTGCTCAGCCTTACTTGTTGCCAGTCAGAAGACTTTTTTTTTTTTTTATCAAAGGTTTGATATTTTGGGAAATGTTCTTGTTTGCTTTAGAGACGAGGAGATTGGAGCGTTAGCGGCCGGCTAACTCATGCTAAGTCTGTCGAAAAGGTCCGACAAGCTCTTCTTGAACTCCATTATTAAATCTGATGTCTTGTTTTTTTTTTAAATACTCTCACAAACAGATTGGTCGTCATGACAACATTTATCTGTTTTACCTGCGAGGAGATTTAACTTTCCAGAAGGCCGGAGGGTTACCTAGCAACAAAGCACGAAGAAATCTGCACAAAACCCTCTGGAGGAAAAGGTCAAACTGTTCGATTTCCAGCCTTCTGTCACAGCGATCAGTCGTCTCGGCGTCTCCTCCTCCTCCGGAAAGCGAAGACGAACATTTCCCAAAGTGTCACCAGTTATTCCTTTTTTAGCGCAGGAAGATACGAGCAGAGTTTTTAGCAGTGACGCTAGCTAACCAAAGCAAGTTTAGAAACTGTGGGCGAGAGGGCGGGAGACGACATGAGAAAAGATACTCGAGCACGATCATGAAACATTCACACGTGTTGGATTTTGTAAAGGGCTTCATCGTAAAGGGCGACCAATGAGACGCGAGAGAGGGTTTCAACATCTGTCTGTTTTGATTTCTCACATGGGAGAAGACCACCGTTTGCCTTTTTTAATGTCTTTAAGTTTTATCATGTTTGTTTTTTTGTTTTTTACTCATCACTATCCATCACTTGTTTCTTTGTTTTTTTTAAAATTCTCTCTCTTTGCTGTACAGAGAGGCGAGTCGGGAGAAGCGAGTTGTTAAAGTGCCATAAGACCTTGAACTGTTTGAGAAAAACAAAAACAAAGGGGGGGGGGGCGTTCACCCCGGAGCCCAAGCAATACTCACATAATCACCATCGTCCAGCAGCGTAACGGCTTCAAAGCAATATCCACAGCCTCATCGGATCACGTTTTTAAAAACAACACACACAAGCTTTTAGTAATCCCTGGTGATTTTACATGATTTTTATAATGTGAAAAGAATCTTTTTTTGTAATAAATTAGAACAGGAGATATATCACTATATATGGTAGTGCTAAAAAAGACAAAAAGATCTCTGCATTGTGTAAAAAGTGAATGTCTGTGTGTCACTCCCACCCCCCCCCTCCACACACACACACACACACACACACACACACTCCGAGGACGTCTTCTCTTTGTTGCTTTGATTTCTGTAAATCCAGACCGATCATCCGAGCAACAAAAAACCCCAAAACATAAACGACATCTCAGAGCGTTCCTGACGTTCATCGACAAAATGTGAGAAGACGAGATGTTAGAAAAGAGGAGGTAGTTAAACGAACATGTGCAAAATCAGCAGACTGAGGGAGAAGATCGGGCCTGCACACTTTGCTCAAAAGCCAGAGAAAGATTTACAACATTCAGACAAAATGTCACCGGGAACTTTTCATCCACTTTGTAAATATTTTTTCAGTGAGGACGTATTTCCACAAAATAAAAACGGAAATGATACATTTCACACACTGATGAATTCAAAACCTGCACATCTGTGACCACTAAATTATTGGGATGATATGTCAAAGGCTTTTTATCTTGACTCAGCGTTCCCCTTAATGTCTCTACAGCGGATTGTACTGTACTGATCCCTGATGTCACACTGAGAGGAGCCATGGTTGTGCTCAAAATGAAATCTCATAGTGATCGAAAATATTGAAAATGAAGGGCTTTACTTTACAGGTTTCAGGGTCTACATGACTCATAGAAACAGAAAGAGATGAAGACTATGGCCGGATGTTTCCGGTTTGTTTAATGCATCAACAGGCTCAAACGCTTCTACTCAATGTTTGACAACATTATGATCAAACATTGATTGAGAGAAACTGTGAGAAGCTTTATTTAAATCAGAAACAGGTTTCATGTTGCTCTCATTAAAGGAGCAGTATGCAACTCTGACACCTAGTGTTTAAAATGGGTACTGCAGTCCAAATTCAAAACTTTATAGGGAACGATGTAAGGACTAAAATGTGAAAACAAAAAAAGATTATTCGGTTTTATTGGAGTTCTTTCACCCTAAAAGTTGTTTGTCATTTTAAACACTGACATCTTGTAAAGTAGAGCCTCATGTTTTCGAATATTTACAGAAAAGATGTCCTAAAGATGTCCCTTAAAATTAAAACGATGTCTGTTTCTTTTTTAAATCAAGCTGTAGTTTTTAAAATCGGTAAAAAGCATTCAGCGTAAAAAAAAGATTTAAAATGTCACACTGAACATTGGAGTGTTTTTCACACATGAATTGTTGCTTGTGTTTTTTTTTTAATTTTGTCTGTGATTTCTGTCCGCCTTTTAAAAAAAAAAAAAAAGTAGGGTTTAAATGTTTCTGGGGTCGTGGTCACTTTATTTATACTCATGGGGGGGCGGGCAGAGGGGGAAGGGGTCAGAGGAGGGGGGGGGGACCTGCAGTCTGACATCGTAGACAATCTTGGGAGATAAAAAAACATTTTTCCACAATTTCTTCATTCACGTCGGTCTGCTTCTTGCTGCGCGCCCGTACTGTTCTTATTTATTTAGCATTCTTCTTCTGTGGTTTTTAGACCTTACTAATCAAATTGTAAATACTCTAAAAAAAAAAAAAAAAAGGAAAAAAAAAGAAGACATTTGAGAGAGAAATTAAAATAACAGCATTAGTGACTTGCGATTGTAAAACCAGCAATAAATTGCAATGCAGAGGCGTCCGTTTAAATGTATAGCTATTCTTTCTAAGGTTTCTCTGGAAACGGCCGCATTGAGATGACGATGACGATGAAGATGATTGATATGCATTTATTCAACATTCCAGATTTTGTACATAATTACCTGTTTCTGAAGTAACCTGTGGAAAATAAAACTAATGCTCTTTAACAACGATTGCTTCGTCTTCATTTGGTTTATCTGTAGATAGACAGTCCAAGGAAAAGGACAAGTGAGAGGCGGCTGTGGCTCAGCGGTAGAGTCTCTCAATTGGAAGGTTTGGGGTTCGATCCCCAGCTCCTGCAGCTACATGATGTCTCCTTGGGCAAGACACCCAATTGATTCATTGGTTCATTCAAATGAACCACAAAATATGAAGTTATTAAATGTTGTAAAACCTCATCTGGTGCATGTCTTCTGCCCCCTGGTGGAATATCTGTGCACTGCATGTATGTAGTTTTCATCAGATGGATAGATGTGAAAATCAGGTGAGTGCAAGCGTAGCAGGGTAACACTGGTAATGGTGATAATAGTTGGCTGTTCAACACGAGGTTCTGCTCGAGGTTCCTGCCTCTTAAAGGATGTTTTTTCTTGCCTATGTAACTTTTTGTTCTGTTTTTGCACATTTTACATGACATACACATTTACATTTAATCTTCCATATTTAATTTACAACTCTGTTTTTGCACATTTACATTTAATCGTCCATATCTAATGTTCCTATTTTAGACTAGTAATGCTTAATTAAATCCTGGTTGTATATATTCTCATTCTTAGTTTTTATATTTTTAGTGCTTATTTACTTTGTATTTAATATTATATTGTGTTTAAATTTGCTAACATTGTGTTTTTTACTCATATTGTGTGTTTGGACAACCTGCTGCTGTAACGCCACAATTTCCCAGTTTGGGATCAATAAAGTCATTTTATTCCATTCTATTCTGTAGGAGCCATTTTGTGTTTATCATGGGCATGTTGTATAATTAAATTTATCTGAACATATTATTTTCCACTAGGGACACTGAATGCACAGGGGCGTGTAGATATAGTAGCACAGGTGACAGGAAAGGGAAGGCACAGGTAGGGGGAGCACGAACAGTTCTCACCAGACCAGCACTCAGACAAACTACAGTTCATTCATTCTACTGGCTACGCTTCACTGGAAATGGTTTGTTTTTTGTTCTCATATCTCCATCAAGTCACTTCAATAAACCTTCAACTCAACTTCAATAACGGCTGGAAATTCATTGTTTGCATCTGAGTCAGACTTCACCTCTACCTGTGTATTAATGACAATAAATGGAGCAAAGGAAAAAATTGGAAAACTGTCATTACATATTCTATTTGCTAAATGTTTGTAGTGTAGTTCAGTGTCTGAGGGTTTGGTACGGGTGGAAGCATTAAACAGCCTGATCGAGGTTGGTAATAATAATAATAACAACTTTATTTCTATAACACCTTTTAAAAACACAGGTTTACAAAGTGCTTTGACAAACAGCAAAAACAAGAACAAACTAAACCAAACACAGAAGAACATAAACAACAACAAGAACATAACAAATACTAAATACTAAAAATAATTAAATACAATTCAACAGAAAAGAACCCAAAGTGCACGATACACAACAGACATATAGAACCCGACCATCACAAGAACCATCACAAGAACCATCACAAGAACCATCACAAGAACCGTCATAAGAACCGTCACAAGAACCGTCACAAGAACCGTCACAAGAACCGTCACAAGAACCGTCACAAGAACCGTCACAAGAACCGTCACAAGAACCGTCATAAGAACCGTCACAAGAACCGTCACAAGAACCATCACAAGAACCATCACAAGAACCATCATAAGAACCATCACAAGAACCATCATAAGAACCCAACAACACGAGCTGAGACCAAGAGGAACCAAAGATTTAAAAAGATGTAAGAAACTAAAAGAGCTCAAATCAAAAGAGAACAGCAATAAGAAGGTAAGAGCAGGAAAAGAAACAAGTGAATAAAGGATCAGAAAACCCAAAACTATAATATTAATAAAAATAAAAAGTAAATATAAATATGAAACATAAATAGACAAAGTAAGTAAGATAAGAAATTACCAAGTTAAAACATAAGAGGAGTTAAGATAAGAGCATAAATAAAAGAACAGTAAGAAGTAAAAGAAGATGAAAATCGTAAAAGCAGTAAGAAAAGACTTTAAGAAGATGACATCACATAAAAGCAAGTCTGTAAAAATACGTTTTAAGAAGGGATTTAAAAGAATTGAGGGAATCTGCGAGTCTTATCTAAGAAAGACCTCCTGTATCTTCTGTCTTTGGAGCAGCAGAGATGAATGAATCTTCTGAAGGAGCTTTTTCAGGAGACGGTGGGAGACAGTGATGCCAGATCTCAGGAGAGAAACAAGCAACCAGCTCTATGGAAACAAAACAAGCGACTTGGCTCCTCAAATAAATAAAATGAAGCCAAACAGGTGACCTAACCTACCACATAGTTTAAAAGAGAGGTCACCAGATCGGGCAGGCGGGCTAACCAAAGAAACGGGGTCGTGGACGGATCCTGGAAAAGGACAAACTATCGCGATAGTTTTTCGCTTTATTGTGGAGAGTTGGGAGAGAATCAGTAGAGGTTCATACAGGGAGCAAAACAAGCCCAAAACAAGCTCAAAAACCCCAAAACGCTTTACAGAAAAACAAGCCCAAAGTCGCTTATAACAAGCGGACCTGGCAACTCTGCTTTACTGTTGTGTTCCTTCTCGGTTACTTGAGAACAAATTAAAAAAAAATGTTTTAACAAACGTTTAAGAATGTTAAACTATATAATTATAGGCTATATAATCATAAAAAAGCGAACATTCATATTGCCATTAGCTGTCATCTTTTGAAGTGCTTTTTAAAAAATAACATTATTATACCCAAAAAATTAATGATGCAACATCATACTCGAAAAATGAGCTGACAAGCATCATACGTGTGGCACATTGACAAAAAAAAAAAAAAGATACAAAACCACTTACTAAATATTAATCTAACCACAGAGTCCAGACTGTCAAACTGAAGAGGGACGCTGTTGCTATGACAACACAAAAAGTGAGCAAGAATAGCATCCTTCGAAACAGCAGCGATGTCCCTGCAGCTGAATCACAGACCAAAGGAGTTTCTGATTTTATTTTGTTCAAATTGTCAGATTCAAGAAGATGAATCCACCAGCCGAATCTCTGCTCAAATACGACAATCCAGTTTTGATCAGGAAAAGCACTGACAGAAAACACCAGCCGAGTTTAACCGACGTTTAGTGGTCAAAGTTAGACATGATGGTGAAAATAGTTTTGACCGTACAGATATTCCTGCTATAATGGCTGCTGCTGTTTCTATGTTTTTTACCAACATCTTTCAATCCCCGAAGCTTTTTAAAGTTATTAAATGATGATGAATATACTGTATCATGTATTTCAGGCAAAGAAAGTTGATTCATTGTGTAACATGAAATACTTTTCACAACAGGGCCGCCCTTTAAAAGTGAGTCCACAGCAGGTGGGGGAACAGTCTACCCCTGTTCCAACACCTCCAAAACCAAAGCCCACCTCTACTGACACCCACAAGCAGGAAGATGAGGAGATCCTAAACGCCATCCTTCCACCCAGGTACAGTTGCATCCATCTACAGTGTGTCATTCATTAAGTTCAATCCACTCAGTTTATCTAAACTTCTGTTATTGCAGGGAATGGACTGAAGGAACCCAGCTGTGGGTGCAGCAAGTGTCCAGTGCACCTCCTACAAGAACAGATGTTATTCACCTAGAGGAGCTGCTGGACACAAAGCTGCAACAAAGGCAGGCCAGACTTGGTGTGCTTTGGTGAGAAGGAGGCTCTGAAATTTGTGATCACTGAGGCGATTGTGTTCACAAGGATTGAGGATCAAAGAACAAGAATTTGAACCAGTTTTTTTGTGTACACATACAGCTTTCTTCTGAAGCGTTTTGTATACCTCTGAAAGCACATTTTCCTCCTCAAATATGTTCCTGTTGCATTTACTCATTTTCTGTTTCTTTAAGATGAGCTCATCAGACAGGTGACCATCAGGTGTGCTGAGAGGGGCCTGCTGCTCTCACGGGTCAGAGATGAGATTCAAATGACTATTCCTGCCTACCAGACTCTGAATGAAAGCAGTGTGGCCTTCGGTATGAGGAAAGCCCTTCAGTCAGAGTCAAAGGTTGACATGGAGAAAAAAGTAAGGACATTTCCACTTTCAATAGATAGCATACAAATGTGGAATGTTTGCCAATATTGGCATCCATCGATAGAGAATATACAGTATTTGCCACTGAAGGAATAACTATCGAATGCTATTTGGTTTAGTATCCAGCAGAGGGCAGCATTCCTTTAAAATAATGTTTGGTCTTCACATCACTGATCCTGCATTTTAATAAACTTCAAACACCTAGATTACTGATCTTGACGATGAGAAACTGGAGCTGAAGAAGCAACTGAACGAACTCAAGTCTCAACGTGATGCCACTGAAAAACGAGAAACTGAAAAGCGACAGATCGAAGAAAAGAAGCTCGTGGAAGAGATCCAGTTCCTCAAGAGAACCAACCTGCAGCTCAAGGTGACGTTTCAAGGCTTCATACCACAGAAATATATCTTCCCCCTGCACTTGTTCCTGTAGTAGATGTGGTTATGATGTTAATATTCTTATTTTGTTTTCCTCTTCAGACCCAACTGGAATTGATCCTCACACCAAAGAAGTAACACCGCCATCAATAACAGAGTGGCCATTTGTCTGGTTTCTAAAGATCTGTTATAAGTTCTTTCAACTCCTTGATTCCATTAATATGTCCTTTTTTGGGGCTAATTTAAATAAAATAATCTTTACATGTTGCCTTGACTGTCATATTTGTCAATAGTGTAATGAAAAATGCTCTCCAGGTACCATTTTTAAGTAGATTTATTGTTCTTGAGTACTTTGTTTTTCTCCTCCAATATGACAGGGTTCTCCCAAGTTAAGGAATTACATCTAGAGGTGTTTAAAAAGACTCTTATAAAAACCTGATCATAACTGTTGATAGAACTTCACAGAAAGTGAAATCAAAGCTGAATCTTTTTATTAATTTTTTTATTGGTATCCTGATAAGTTGTTGAATTTTTCATGCAATAACATCAGTCAGTCTCTCAAAATGTGGGAATTCAGATGTTCTGGTAAAATGAATAATACTGCAAATAAAATAATTCAGAGGTTTTTTGGACCATTGTTTTGATATGTTTCATTGAATTTTAACAAGCAGAAAATAAAAATATATAAACCTCAGTAGATTAATTAACCAAACAAATCAGATAATAAACCTATCCTCTTAGATCCAGTTCAACAGTTAAATGACAAATGGTTATCAAAATGATATTAAAATATATAAATGAAGACTTTTTTTAAACAAGCGATACTTTTATTTTACTGGTAATACTCAAGTTCTCTAACTGAGCTGACATTTGTAATGGGCTCTTATCTGTACTTAACTTAAAGGATCTCAAATCTCATCCAACAGGGGTGCGAGCTTGTTTTTACAAATGCCCTCTGTAAACACTTTGATTTAAACTGATACTTCCACAAACCTTTTTAACACTTTGGCTCCTGTTTGTAAGATTGTTTTTCTTACATTATGTAAATGTCTGTCCGAGCTGTTCAACATGCTTGAATGGTTTAAGATGGTAGAGAAGTTGACAGGGACTTTCCTCACTCCAGGAATATTCCCTAATGACTTGTCATTATCTTAAAAACACCCTGGGGGGAAACATAGCTGCATTATTTCTGCACAAGATAGCAGCAGTGATTCAACCACATAAAGTGAGGAGGGTAATAGATGTACCATGTTTGAGTACATTATAGTTTCGCTGTCAATCATTGCAACTGGAAAAGGACAAATTATCGCGATTGTTTTTTGCTTTATTGTGGAGAGTTGGGAGAGAATCAGAAGAGGTTCATACAGGGAACAAAACAAGCCCAAACAAGCTCAAAAACCCCAAAACGCTTTACAGAAAAACAAGCCCAAAGTTGTTTATAACAAGCGGACCTGGCAACACTGTCCTGATTTTGTTATATTGTCTACATTCTGTATGTCCTGTTCTGCTCTATTTTTATGTTTTCAGTGTTTGTATGTCATTTTCATTTGAGTAAATTTTATTTGTGATAGTAAATATTCTTACTTTGTTATTTTTCACTGTATTTTATTTTAACTTTGTTTAATCTCTTAAAGTGAGGTTTTGAGATAAGCCCTACCTCACCTGCACATGTCTTTTTTTTTTTTTTTTTTTTTTTTAAATTTTCTGTTTGATTCTTCTTTCAAAAACAAAAGTGCAAATAAACTAAACTAAACTAAACTAAACACTGGTGGGAGACATTGTCAATTATTGTCCACCTCTTCCAGCCTCCTTCAGCCTTACAAGCTGCATGTGTCTATTGTTGGGCAACAACCTGATGAATATATTGAATTTTCTCATCTATATTCACTAAAGACTGTAAATATTAAGATTTTTCACACAGAAAATTGGGTAGACCTGAACACTGCTGCAGTGTCGTGCAGTCCATACAGTGATTACATGATGCACACACACACACACACACACACCACACATTCCAATCTGCACATTGCACTTTGACACCCCGGACACTTTACACACTGACACTTTACACCAGGGTTTTTGCAACTGGTGGCCCAGGGGCCACATGCGGCCCCCATCAACCCTCAACGTGGCCCTCAGGTCAATTATGACATACCAATTAATTGGAAACCTGAAGAAAACATGACAAAATCTGCCATGAAATAGTGAAAACGAGTGAATACGTCCATAATAATATTTGATCACTGGTATATGTTGAGATAAATTTGAGACATAATTGACTGTAATCGTTTTTGTATTCTACAATTTGGCCCCCTGGCAGTGAGAAGCAAATGAATGTGGCCCCTTGCTGTGACCAAGGTTGCCCGGCCCTGCTCTACACTGTTTACATTAATCTATATTTTGTATATTCAAATAATAATTTTTTTAATTTTACATTATATTCTATTTTACTGTGTATATGTGTATTAGTAATTTGAGTGTTTATTGCATGGCCTTGCGGAACAGTCTTTACATTTCACATCTGTGTGAGCATGTGATCTTGACTCCAGCAGGGGGCGGTAGAGCGCTTCATCCGTCATTGTGACGGCTTCTCTCCAACAACAGAGAGGAAGCCGGTGAACCCTCCGGAGCTCCGCTAGCTCGGATATTCTGGCGTTATTATTAAAAACAATAATAATAATAATAATATACCACACTTAAAGCTTGTAAGCAGATTTATCCGTTTTTTTTTGCACCGATGAGCGGGATACCAGGCACCGCAGTCGTCCAGGTCACCAACCTCTCCTCGGCCGTGAGCAGCGAGCAGATGCGCACTCTGTTCGGCTTCCTGGGAGACATCGAGGAGCTGCGGCTCTACCCGCCCGAGTAAGAGCGACCTCCGCCGGCATGGCTAGCTTAGGAAAACCCGAGGATGCGTGCGGCCTATGCGGTCCAACAAACTCTTATTTCTAAGCCGCAAAACGAGCGAATTAGAAAACTAACCAGCCCGTTTGTGTTCTTAAATGTCTCCTTACAGCAATGGGCCTCTGTCTTTCTCCTCCAAAGTGTGTTATATAAAGTATCGGGACCCCTCCAGTGTTGGAGTGGCCCAGCACCTCACCAACACTGTGTTTGTTGACAGAGCTCTGATTGTGGTGCCATGTGCAGAAGGTGAGTGCAACATGTCTCTTATTACTAAAATGCAATGCGTGAGTTGTCTCAGTGGTCATGCAATGGCCTCTTCCCCCTTTTTGAAACCTGTTTGGTGTTGTGGTTGACCTTTGAACCCTGGGTATTGTTTTTGCATACAGCATCCAGCCAAGGTTTGTTTTTTTTTTGGTGTCACAAGGTGGTTTCTGCAAGTAAACAAAACAAAAGAGTGCATGTTTATAGACCATTTCATTCAAGGTTAACCCTCTAGACCCCCCCCCCCCCCGCTGGATTTAACAATAATGATGCTGCATTCACTGAAGACCCTGGAATATACGGGCTCATTTAAAATATAAAGAAGCATCGATTCATGTTAAATTTGATACTCGATATTTGGTGAAAATGCTTTGAACAGGAGAGCTTCTAAGAACCAGAAATAATAAAAGAAAAACCTTTTTAGAGGACGGCAGGAAGTCAGGAAATAGAAGAAAGGTAAAAATAAGAGCATGATAATCAACAACGAGGGATGCACGATGCGTCAGCTTAACGTTGGTATCGTCGGCCCTGACCGACATCGTACATCTGCAAATAATGTGACATGAAGCGACGTCAGTAGCCGATGTTTGTCTGTTGTGTCGTATCAATATCTGCTAACTGTTGATTCAGAGAAGTGTTTTTTTATTGGGTCGATGAAGTCTCCTGTTGGACAAACTTCAAAGCCAAGCATCAGTGAAAAAAAAGAATTGGCTTTGTGGAAGTCAAAAGAAGAGATCAAAAAAACAAAAGATTTAGAAGCTAAATTTTCATTTTAGTGCACACTCACACTGAGCAAGGGACTCTTCACCCCCCAAAGTCCAGTTTGTTCAACTTATGAGTATGCTCCACTTCCTCGGCTCCGGCACGCTTGGAAGAGATGTTCTTCGGCACGGTACAGGTCGTGCACGAGTCCCAGAACGCAACGTGGACAGCCGTCCATTATCGAGAAATCCTGGAGTGTTTTGTCTGTATCTGACTAACACGACTCAGAATAAGACACAAAGTCTGTAAAGTAGCTGTCAGGAGTCCGCCTGGCTTGTAGACTAAGCACGCTTCATGATCTTGTAAAGTCATGCATGTGTTGTATTAAGACGTTATGTACATGAGGTAGCCGTGCTCAGGCCCGGTTAGTCCTGGAGCGGTGTGAGCGCAGACCAGCGGGGGAATGGGGGGGGGGGGGGTACCTGGGCCTAGATTTAAAGTTAGT